AACTTGTGTGCCAGTGGCATCCGGATTTGGCGTGTGCAGGTCGGACCCAAGATGGGCAAGGAGTGCCTTTGGCTCCTTCACGCAACTAGCAACTGTGCATTCCGAAACTTGGCGAGGACCTCGTGATGGTCGTGCCTGATTGGAAGAAAGCAGGAACGTCACCGTTGGAGGCAGCTTGGCCAGTCATCTGGGAGAGCTCTCATGAAGGAGTTTCTTGGCTTGCTGTGTGCTGTTCTCAGTACGAGTGGCCTCACGAGCAGATTTGGTTGGACTACTCTTTCATGCCACGGCCTTGGCTTTGAAGATTCAGGTGAAGAGCCGAACGACTGTCCTGAAAGTCATGTCGGTACCACGAGCTGCCACAGGTAGTATGTGAGGTATCAGTTTCCAGACTTCGCACTTAACGAATTTAGTTCAGAGCCTGCCACTGAAGTTTTTCGTTGCGCAGCTCGAGCTGGTGAGAAGCCCCCGCGAAGGCACGACAATGGCATCTTCGATTTTGCCGGACGTATCCGCAAGAAGTGCGGGCCTCTGCACCCATGCTTATCAGAGTTTGGTTGCTTGGCATGTGTTTCGGGGCTAGAAAACTGCGAGCACTGCTTCAAGAATCTGCAAATGATTGGACGGAAGAGTGACTTCGACTACAGTCAATATGCGCCGAATATTTCTCCAAGGTGCTGAGAAAAAATGTCTTGCAACTCAGACTCACCCTGTGCTCGCTCAGATTTCATCGCCTGCCGCGACTGGCGAATGCGGCCGCCTCCGCCAAACTGGTTGAGGTGCACGTGATAGGGGAGCTGGGTGAAGTCGGGTATGGCTTGGAAAGCGTTCCAATATCTATATACATATATATTATACATATATATATATATATATACACATAGGATGTCTCTGCTCTGCAGTTTGACGTGTCAGCACTGTGGCCTATGTTGCAGAAACTGCCTGCCAGAACCGGAATGCGTTCCTGCGAGAGCAAGTCTTGAGGCGCATGCTCACACCATGCAGCGAACTGGGCTCCTCAATGATGAGGGGCTCGGCTGAGCTTCGATAGCTGGGAGAGTCGGGCACCGGGTGCACCGGTTTCTTGACCGGTGTGTTTGCTGTCTTCGTGCCGTGCAATTACCGCAAGACTGTTGGTGGTTTCCCTTCGCAGCCGTCTTCTTCGGTAGCTGGAGCAGCACTCGTGACTCAAGACTACCCGAACCGGTCCTCATAAAGAAGCGCCGAAGAGCACAGCTGAATTCCACGCACCTCCATGGTGCCATCACATTTTCCAAAGGATGATGCACATTCATGCACCCACTACGGGCAGGAAAATTAGTTAGTGATGCAGCAAGCAGGGGTGTCCCAAGGACATCCCCGATGAGGGCACGTAGACTTGAGGTTATTCAGCTATGAAACTTTGTTCCACGGAAGCAGGTGCCGGTAGCTGTTCTGGAAACGAGTCATATTATTCCAGTGCGGTATGAGCTTGCGAGACTTACCATACGATGTTCGAACCTGCTGGGAGTCTTTGTCTCGACGGCTTCGTCGTTGGCCTGTCTTGTATACAATCTCGAACCGTTTCTTTGAGCCTTATTTGTCCCGAAGAGCTTGCAGCAGTGGGCGTGATATCTCTAGTATAGGCATTGTTCCTGCTCATCGCAGAAACATCGCGACATGTTCCTCGACCGGATGCTGTTGCTAAGCAATTATGCGCCGAAAAGGAAGTCGCTTACAGGGAAGACACGTCCACACCTTGTCTGCTTGAATATTCACGACGACTGGACGAAGATGAATCCTGTTTCTCGTGCAAACTGTTACAACTTGCCGGCTCGAGACTGCGGCGCTCCCTTGCGTGCCGCTGTAGACATTCGCCATCGAGACCCCTGAGGGCTCGTTCGATGTGCGAAAACTAGGTGCGGCGAAGTAGCTTTGTGTCCATTGCACAAATGCCGCCGATGCAACCAGTTCCGATGATGCGCCCGGTCATGATGTTCGGGGGAATGATGCCACCTGGTAACCAGAGCGGCGCTCCCGGCGCATGTTCCGGAGGTCCGGGTGGCCCAGGCGGTGGTCCAGGCGGCCCCGCAAGCGGTCCAGGTGGCCCATGCGGCCCAAACCAAGGTGGTCCAAGTGGTCCAGGCCCAGGAGGTCCAGGAGGTCCAGGCGGCCAAGGAGGAGGTTCAGGAGGTCCAGGAGGCCCAAGGCCAGGGGGCCCAGGCGGTCCAGGGGGCCCAGGGCCTGGAGGGGTGATGATTAATCCCAATGCGCAAATGCAGCCCGGCATGTCTTACATGCCCTGCATCGTTCCTGCGAGCCAGTGGCATCAGATGCAATCGACCGGTGCGGTGGCAGTTGCCTATGTGGATGCAGCGCAGGTGCAAAGTGGACAATTGAATCCCAATACACTATTCAGTCAGATTCCAGGCATGATGCCTCAGAATGGCCAAAACAACCAGAAGGGCATTAAGGGGGACAAAGGAATGGGAAAAGGAGGTGACAAGGGAGACTTTGGCGGAAAGGGCTCTTCAGCTCGTGGCCGTTCGCCTCCTCGAGGCCGCCGGGGTTTTTCGAGTCCCAATGGCTTCGCCTCGCAGGAGGGTCCCAGTGGTCCATCGGGTCCCGCCCGGCCAGGGCCTTTCTTCCCATCCGAGCGCAGCAGTTCGAAAGATGCTTGGCGGCCCTCCTTCATTGACCCGGAGCAGGCGGCCAAGAGGCGCGACTCCCTGGAGAGACGCTTCGAGGCCGAGGGGAGGTCGCCTCCGCCCAGGCAGTCTGTGGAGCGGCGGACGTCTGCGGAGAGAAGAACCTCAGCGGAAAGAAGAACTTCCGCAGAGCGCAGGACATCGAGAGAGAGAGGAGACTCGACTGATCCTCCATCAGGGTTCTCAAGGCGTGCCAAGCCTTTCGGGCCACGGCCACAAAAGCGGCCTCCTGTTCCAAACGCAGTGCAGATGTCAGGCCAATGGCAGCACCGGCTTCCTGACGGCAGCTCTGCGGCAGTCTACCTCATAGCCGACCAAATGAACCTGCAACAAGCAGCAAGTCGGCTAAACCATTTGCCGCAGGGTGCCATGATCGCGATGGATTGCCACGGCTGGAATTTGAGAGCCGCTGCTGGCAAGCTGTGCCTGTTGGTCGTGGCATTCAGCGACAATACGAACGGGCTCCAAGTTTTCATGTTCGATGTAATGCAGCTGGGTGAGCAGCTGTACAGCTTAGTGCCATTCTTTACCAACGCAAACTCCTCCAAAATCACGACAGATGCTACGACGCATGCCACGGTCTTTGCCCACAAGTTTGGCATCAACCTGAATGGAGTGATAGACGCTCAATGGGCATATGAGGCACTGGAGAAGAGGGGCATGGTGAATGCCTGCAATTTTCTGGACTGGAGTGGCCTGCCAACCATGTCCTTCAAGGATGAAGCAGCCAGACTCGAAAACAGTCCAGAGATCTGGGGACAACGGCCTTTGGTACAGCAGGCCTTAATGCATGCAACTGAAGGTATCTGCTTGCTTCACTCTGCCTCAGCTGTGATGTGGACACGCCTTGCCAAGAGCTTTGGCCAAAACGTTTTCAACATGGTCGCCAATGCTTCACGGCAACGTGTCGAGATGGCAGCCGCAGCTGGCTGGGCCTGCAGGAATGCAGGGCTCTGGACCGCGGAGCAGGACTACCCTGTGCCAGGAGACAAGGATGCGGAGATGGATGATTGGCTGGCGAAACGCTTCGGAAAGACATCCGAGAAGCAGCCACCACCTGCAGCTCTCAGAGCAAGGTCAGCAGAAAGGCCAGCTCTGCCCGAATCGGCTTTCCGTCAGGGGGACAGCCCGAGAACCGCAGCCTGGCGCGCAGTGGTCGCACAGATGAACCCACCCAGGATGCAACCCTCCCGCCAGAGATCGGCGTCACCGACCCTAGAGAACTGGCTCAGCCGTCGTGGCTCCGCCAGAGAGGAGAGAACGCGACACGCGCCAGGTGCCTCACACAGAGCCTCAAGCTTGCCCTCGCGTGATCGGGAGAGGGACAAGGATGAGGATGACCTTTTCCCACGGCCTCTGCAGCCTTTAAACTTCGCCGACACCTCAGAAGTTGCTTTGCAAGTTGCTCGAGCATTCGAATCCGAAACTTCCATACTTCACTCAGGACAACATCAATCGAAAGAATTGGGCAGAGATCGTTGAAGAAGGGGACGAAGAGGTCGGCGAGCCTGCAGGGGCGCTAGGGGATGTTAGAGATCTGTATGTTTGCTTCTCTTTGTTTCTTCTGCGCCTTCTCCCGTGTTCGGTCTTCATTTCTTTTGCGTGTGTGTGTGTGAATTTTGTTTGCTGCCAGGTGTTTGAAGACCTCGGCAAGGACGGGTCAAATCTGCACTTGTCCAGAAGCTGTTGGCGAAAGGCTGCTCGAAGCTCTAGTTATCATCTGACAGGCGGAACATAAGCGGTTGAACCAAGCAGAAAAAACGACCAAGACAAAGGCAAAGAGATGAGGCCCTGGAGTCCGTTCACTTGCGGCCAAAAAGTTAGATGTGCAGATATTCGGCTGCGCAGGCTTTGCTGGGCACGGTGCCGCTTCGCCGAAGTGCCTCCGTGCTTTTTTCCTGCACGACTAGGGAACCTGCATCCCGCTGTGCCAAAGTGGAATACTGCTTTGCGGCACTGCAGTTTTGTGTGTGTCACCAGTCAAAAATTGTTCCAAAGACGGCTGCAGCCTCCATTTCCGGAGGCATCGCGATTAGAGTTGAAAGCTTGGAAGACTTCGCGTGGCACTTCTATTCGGGACATTTCACCTATGGACCTATGATCTGTGATCCGCAGCAGCTCTAGCAGGGTTGTCGCTTCCAGGTGCCTGCAGCCTTCATGGGCTCGAGCTGGCAGTCCGGAAATGCACAAAACATCCTAATCCTAAACTTTCGCTACCCGACATAGGCCTCAGACTCCACAGGGGCCACAGCGCTTCCAGCATCTAGTGATTCTACGTGATCCTCCTGGGTCACGCATGTCCCAGTCAGATCCATGGAGGCAACTTTGGGGCATCGCGGAGGGCAGCGTCAGAGTCTGAACTCGCAGGGCGGCTTCGCGAAAGCGCTGGGAGTCTGGAGCTCCCAGCCTGGCAGCTGGCTTCCCAGCTTTCATCCTCTTTCTCCCCTCCCACCCGCTTTCTCCCAAGACTCTTCCAAGGCTGTTACCAGGTGTGGCTGGATGATATGCACCAGATGATTTACGAAGAGCGCCAAAACGATGGCAAAGAGGTCGTCTGGATGAGCGTCGCAATAGCATGGAAGCATCCTCGACATGCAGGTCCGCGGCATGCTGCTGATTGATGATATTTGGATGGTGGCGGCCTGGACGGAATCAGATTTGGAACCACGGTTTCGTCAAAAGTTCCTCCCAGCACAGGGGCGCCTGCTCTTCAGAAATACCGGCGATGTATTTGGCACGTTGAGGCCGGATGCTTTTGGGCAATATGCGTATCAATGTGTGCAGGCAAATGGCAAAACGTTTTGCGATGCTGGGGAGTCTTGTGAAAAGCAGGCTGCGGTACATTGAAGAGCTCTGTCCCCAGATATCTGCAGAACTCGCACATCTCTGCCAGCCGTTCCTCGCGCTTTGAGGTCTGATTGTCTGGTCTCATACTTCCAGAGAGCCGGCAGTGACGAGTGGGCCTGGAGCCGACTGCGCTTGCACCATTCGCGCTTCTCATCGCTTCTCGTCGCTTCGCTTGAGGTTCAGGCGGTTTCAAGCCGGTGCCTTGCGAAGGCAGCCTTGAAGAAGCTACGCAGTGCTACGCAGTGCGCAGGCTTGGGGTCTCGCTTTGAGGCAGATGCGCCCCTGAACGAGCTGAAGACGGTTTCAAACCGGACAAGTCGAGCGAGGCGTGGATGTAAGGGCTCCATGGCTTCAAGTTGCCATCAAGCTTTTGAATGGTCGTCGTTGCTCAGTGTTGTCACAAGTTCAGGTCCAGTCCACATATGTTGGAGTTGCCCAAAGATGGCGATCTCCCTTGGAATGGTGAAGACTCCATGCTTCAGGCCACCCATCTGCAGCAAGCTTAGCGCGAACTACGCATTTCTGCTGCTATCTCTTTCAGGTCTATCAGCACGATGGATTGTCACCCTTGCTGCGAGACTGCGTTCTGCACTCACTCAAGGCCGGGCATTGAAGTAAGACTTGGGGCTGCTGCACGGCGATTCCCTCTTAAACAGCAGGACACATTGACATCGAGTTTCGCACCTGCGTAGTGTTCTCCACAAGCCTCAGCTAACGGATTGTTCAAGACGTTCAAGACCTGACGAAGCTTCTTTTGTTTCTCCCGATCGGTGCTCTGCGCAACCTTCTTGCGAGTGAACCAGGCTTCTGTTCGCCGGGCTTTGTACGTTGCTGATATTTCGAAAAAGTGAGAAAATGTTATTGACAGGCCCGGATCAAGTATTTGGAGAACGCGATGATGCACGACAAGGCTGTCCGATGCCAGCAGACCAAGCATGTCCTAAGCAAGGCAGCTGTAATCGGGGATTCAGAACCGCCAAAAAGATGGTCGGCTTGTTTTTCTCACAGGACGAAGGCATCAGATGGCTGCTGGCGAATAAGCTGAACCCCAACCTCCGACCCAAACTTGGCGCGCTTCCGCTGAAACCCCTCAGGAGTCTCCGAGACCCTTGGAGATTGGCGGGAAGCCTGGACTTCGGAACTTCGGGCCTGAAAGTAGTCTTGTGCTGTGATTTCTGCAGGTTGGCGGGCCTCGCCTGCCCAGATGGTGCCTGCATCAGGTCCTCTGACCTCTGGCAAGAAAGTGCAACTTCCGTGCCGCGATGTCAGGCAATGAGGCGCAGGAGGCCCGACCTCGCCAGAAGCTGGGCCAGAGGCAGAGGCGTTTTGCCAGGACGCCGAATGAAAATTGGAGCTGAAATGTGTCACTTCGGTTCGCATAAGGGAGTGTGCAGAAAAGCCGCGGCAGGACTGTTTGGCATGAGATTGAGGTCCCTGCCCAAGCCGTTTTGTTTTGTGCGAGCTCGTTGTTTCAACTTTGAAAACGCCGGTTTCAGTTCTTCGTATCTATGGCCAAAGCCCTCTCAAGAGCATGCCGACCTGGTCCAACCCCCAATGCCCCCAATGGTCCAACCCCAAACAGCTGCAGACAGCATACTGGATCTTCCGTTTCCGATCACCGGTGATGCAATTGCCAAGACCCTTCCTGGAAGGGTCCTTCACAGCGCGGTAACCTGCAGTAATCTTTGCAGTAGCGCTGTGTTGATGCCGAGGATGCGGATGTTGATGCTGCCCGGCGCACAGATACGGTCGGAGTTTCAATACGATCGGAACTCGGCCAAGTCAGGCTCAGCAAAAGCGCCCAAAATCCATCGACACAGGCGAGGGTTGCGACAGAGCGGCAGCAGCAATTACCGGTTTGTGGCATTGGAACGCTCCTCGTGTTCATGTCACAGGGTCGAGCACAGGGTCCCTTGATGAGCTGTGAGGCGCCGGCGCCGGCGCTGTCGCCCGGTCTGAAACCAAGGCCGACTCGGACAAACGAAGATTCGCGGCCGCCGTGGGGGCGTTTGCTGCCTCGTCGTGCCAGGACCAAGGCGTCCAGTGCGATGCACAGGCGCAGGCCATGGACTGAACTTGGAAATTTCCCGGGGGCCACGTTTCTCGAGATGGCAGGTTGAGACACAAGAGCCACAGATTCCTGACGAGACGAGCCAGTGGAAGGAAGAAGCCAGTCCCAAGAGAAATGCCTGCGAGCTTAGCGCGGCAGAAAGACTGCAAGATAATTAGGGGTGCTCTGCATATTCCCTGATGCCCTCAGTCAGCCTCACGAAGGCTCACCTGCAAGCAGTGCTCGAACGACAACAACGGCGATGCCTTGTCCTCGCCGAAGATGTGGCCGAGTCGCATTATTTTCCGTGCTGTTGCCATTTCTACAGGTTTCTGTTGTTGTGCTCGAGCCGATGATCTGCTTATTGGATATGTTTCCCGTGGTGCCGTATGTCTGTGCTTGTAATCTTGTCCTGGCTTGTGACAGGTGGCTCTTCTGACGGAGGACGGCTCGAACTCGAACTGTTTCATCTGCCGGGCATTCTGACTGTACGCGCTCATATCAAGGAGCTGCTCGAGCTCCAGGCGAAGCCGCTCACTGCCACCAGTCTTTGGGTTAGGCGGGATCCAACCGACATGCGTTCTTTCGAAGAGCATGTGCCCGCTCCTTTCAACAGCCTTGGTGGTCAGTCCCGAATGATGCTGCACGGCTTTGCCAACGATGCCCTGGTCTGCACCGATTTGCCTGAGGCAAAACAGAGCCCTGTCCCCTGATGCGGTGTTGCTTTGCCGCGCCAAATTAGGATTGGATGTCCCATGGCGTCCAAAAACCAAAAGCTGGCTCAGCTCAGCTACATGAATCGCAACCCCAGAAGACAATCATGTCAGGAGGAGCTGCTCTTCAGCCTGAGAAGTTGTAGATCATGTAGTTACATGTGAGGTTTCGGAGCCCAAGTCTGTTGCAAAGCCACTAGAACCGTGACACTGTGACACCATGCATTTGTCCACAGCGCCTGGCACAAATGGACGACCTGCTGTGCAACGGTAGATGGTCCAAGGAGGCACCGACATCATGGACGTACGTTCGACGGACAACTTGTGAGTGCAAGCGAACCATTCAAGAGCTCGAGGTTCTCTCCGCAGGCGATGCAGAGGGAAGAGTTCCTGAGACAGGCGATCGCGTCGGCGGCTTGGAAACGGCCCAGAGGCGAGTGTACTTTGACACTACAGGGTCCTAGCTTAGCACAGGTCACGCTGCACTACACATGCCGCTTGGGCGATTCTGACGGCGCACTTTTAGATGACTCGAGAGGTCCGTGCATCGATTTGATGAGCTCCTAGCGGTTTGTCGGGCCACTTAGAACAGGCTTTGGTGACCTGGCCACACGTAGTGTCAGCCTGCATGAGAGCCTAGATGAACATCGGAGCCAGGTAGAAACGAGCCGTTTTCCTTCACTCTCGGAGAAGGCCACGTGTCGCCCAAGCGAAAGCAGAGTCTGGCATGGAGCTGCAACCAGGTGAGGTCATACCAGCTTGGGAGCGGCGGCCTCAAGCAATGAAAGAGTCCGCAGCCCGTGCTTCAAGCAGAGCCAAGGCAAGCGCTTTGCTCCATGAAGTGCGGGGAGTTCGCCGCACTTACGGCAGCGGCCGAAACGAGAAAACGCACTTTCTCGTGTGTTCAAGAAGCTTGGACAGGTCCACCCCGAGATGGCCTTTGGGAATGCCCCCGTCGCAGGAGGCGGCCGGTATCCGCTCGCCCGTCTCTGCAATGGTTGGAGTTCCTGATGAGGTGCCAACCTGGTTGAGAGCAAGCGAGTCCTCTACTTTGAGCTGTGGGCCCGGCCCGGAAGATGTAGAAGTAGCTTCAGGAGTATGAGCAATGCCAAGCAGCTGAGGCTGGAGCTTCTTGACGCAGTGCCCTCTGCAGAGGCTGAGGTGTGCCGAGAGGATCTGTCGGCAGAGGTCTGGCAGGGTTGTTTTGGGCTATGGGCCATAGCAGACGATCTTGCACCCCTTTTCTCCAGGAGAGGCTGGTGCAGGCCACCAAAGCTAAGGAGGAGGGCAACACCTACTTCAAGGCAGGAAAACCGGCAGTTCTCAAGTCCGGCTCCGAGGCGAACCCGTGCAGGCTGGCACTTTGGAGCAGGCGGCACGCTCTTACCTGCTGGCACTGGAGCTCCTGGGCTTCGAGGCCGACATAGGCCGACTTCGAAGAAGTCGCCAAGAGCCCAAGAGCCTCTGACTTCGAGGCAGATGCAGATCCGCGAGCTGAAGAAGGTGTCTGGTCGGACGCTATTCGACGCAACCTTGGAAGCCTTTTGGGCTGTTGCCTTGAGCAGATTCTAAGAGCGTCAAACTGAGGAAGCGAATCGAGAAAGACGCTGGCGCGCGACTCCTCCCGACTGTTTTGTTCCATCTGCCAGACTGTAGCCGAATTGCGTGCAGACTTTGACAGGCGCTGGCTTGCCAACTGAACCTTTCGCAGTGCATGAGCTGCGCCGAGCTGCGTTGGCAAACTTTGCAATTGCGTCGCTTCGATGATGTTCTTGCAAAGGCTGAAGCTGGAAGATCATCAAGCTGCGAGGTCAGCCACTTATGCTATGCCAGCGTTGTGCTGACGGCAGGAGCGAGGCAAATTTGTCGTCAGCACCAATTGAGTCATGAAGAAAAACCACGCACAAACGTGCATGAGCAAGTGCAAGCCATGCCAAGGTATCATGCCGAAGCAGCGCTTCTTCTGCACCCAAAGAACTCCAAGGCTGTTGCCAAGCGACAGAGTCAAGCATAGTCAAGCTGCATGCAAGGGCGCTCCCAGCCAGGCCCTCTACCGCCGTGGCCTAGCTGGCCTTGGATGCGGGCTTCTGCAGCAGGCCACACGTCGGCGGTGTTGCGGTCACGCATCGATTGCAGAAAAAAAGGCCAAAGAGGACCTGCGCGAGGCCGCAAGGCTAGAGCCCAGGCCGAGATGGGAGCGGTGTACCGTACGTCTAGCTGTTGAGCTGCCTTTGGCGGGTGGCAGGAATGCTGACATTCGACGCCATCTGCAGGAGTACTGGGCTTGGTCTTGGGCCTGTTCTGCAAGCCGTACAAGTAGGGCATGCCAGCACCCAGGTGCCAGCAAAGAATGTCGGAGGAAAAGAGCAGCACCAAGGATGTCAGCAACTTACAACTTGATGTCAGCCCGAGCAGCCGCAGATGATTTAAGACCTTCGCTGCAGGCATATGGCGGCTTCCTGGTTCGATCTCAGGCCCAACGTAGATGCCCAACTGCAGTAACTGCAAGGCAGAGCGGAAGCCAAACTCACGTGCCAGGATTCCTGAGATCGGCCGAGATCCGCTTCGGCGACGTGGTGGAATCAGGACTTCGCGCTCAAAGGTGCAGTTCACGACGCCGACAGGATCGCCAGACCGGAGTTCAAAAATGTTCAAAATATCTCGAAAAAGAGCTGCTGCACCATGCTGCTCTTGCCACCTTTGTTGGCCTCCTGACGGGAAAAACAGGCCAATCAGTGTAGGGTGGATGTTGTCTTGTGTGCTTTGCCTTGGATGTCTTTGAGTCTCAAGGTCGCCTTAGGCTTGCGCCTGGGCCAAGCCTTGGCTTCAGCCGGCTCCGGCCGCCTGGCCGGAGGCCGTCAGAAATGAAGCGCAGCCAGCGCAGTGCAATGCTTTGGGCGCTGTCCCTGCTGCTGCCAGCGGTGCAGTCAGCACAGGCTTCCCCAGTTGACAAGGTCTTGAAGGCGCTGGCGGAGATGAAGACCAACGGAATTTCTGAAATGGATGCGGAGAAGAGCCAGCATGCTGAATTCTCTGCTTTCTGTGAGAAGACCTTGGGTGAGAAAGCATCTGCCATCTCAGAGGGCCACGAAAGCTCTGAGCAGCTCGCGGCTGACATTGAGAAGCTCCAGGCTTCGATTTCCAAGCTCGGAAAAGAGCTGCAGATGCATTCGCAAGACATCCTCACGACCAACAAAGACACCGATGATGCCAAGACTTTGCGTGCTCAGGAGGCCGCAGACTTTTCTGCCACCTTGAAAGAGTACGAAGAGTCGATTGACGCAATTGGGCGCGCGACCCAAACCTTGAAGGATCAGGATTTTAGCCGCCCTCAAGCAAAAGCAGCTTTGGCACAGTCCGCTGCTCCGACGGAGTTAGCTGAAACTTCCACCCCAGCGGAGGTGAAGACGGTGCTGGCCGCATTCCTGCAGGCTGATCCAGAGAAGAACGGATATGATTTCCAGTCCGGGGGTGTGATCAAGATGCTCAAAAAGCTAAAGAAGAAGTTTGAGGAGGAAAAGGCTGATCTTGAAAAGATGGAGGCTTCCAAAAAGAGCTCGCACGAGCTCATGATGACGAGCTTGAAGAACCAGCTCGCAACCTCGGAGGAAGCGCAAGCCGAAAAGACTCTCTTCAAGGGCAAAGCCGAGCAAGATTTAGCAACGGCAAAATCCGACTTGGAGGAGACCCAAAAGACATTGGCCGCCGACACAAAGTACCGACAGGATTTGCAGACAGAGTGCAGAGACAAAGCCGACGAGTTTAAGAAAAGCCAGGCTTTGCGGACAGAGGAGCTGGAGGCCATCAGCCTGGCGACAGAGATCATCAGTGGCAAATCTGTTGCCGGTTCGGCCGAGAAGCACATGGCAGGAGTGGGTGCCAAATAGAATCAAGGATGCTCCAGCCTCTGTCGAACATGCCCACATGAGCTGCACCAGACACAGCATGGCAACTGATGGCATTTGCTGCAAATCTGCAGGACTTCTGCGCGTCTCGACGTCCTTAGCATCGCTGCGCTCCGTCAAGACGCCCTCCCAAGTAGACTCAGCCTTGAGGATTCTCGAGGCGGGCGCTCGCGATCTGAAGAGCCAGGACTTGAGTCTCTTGCTCCAGAAGATCAATGCCCTTGATGCTGGACCCCACAAGTCAGATCTGAGCAGTATCAAAGGCTTGCTGGAAAAGCTTCTGGCCAACCTGGAAGCCACAGCAGATTCGGAAATCGAGCACCAGGCCTTCTGCAAGAAGGAGCTGGCCGGCAACAACCGAACTCGTGCAAAGCAGACAGATGCTTTGGAAAGCGTTTCGGCCGGGTTGCGAAAAGCTCCAGTCATACCGTTTCAGCATCCGTAGTCTGCAGCTAATTTGGATCATTGGGATCTGCAGGCAATTTCGGGGGGAGAAGGCAAGTAGTGGCTTGTGTGGCTTGTCTTAGTTTGCGCCTTGCAGGCGGAGCTTGACCAGCTGCAGATATCGCTGGCCAAAGTCACTGAAGAGATCGCTGCGACCTCGGCCCAGATCACAGAGCTTAGTGCCGCAATGTCTGAGGCTACGGAGCTCCGCCAGAAAGAAAAGGCCAAGAACAAGGCGACCATCAAAGATGCAACAGGGGCACAAGATGCTGTCGCGCAGGCCATGGGAATCCTGCAGGATTTCTACGAGAAGAGCGGCACCTCTTTTCTGCAGGCTGCTACCAGTAGGGCGGCCGCTGGTACGCAGCAGAAGAAGATCATCAGCCTGTTGGAAACACTTCTCGGGGATTTCTCCCGCTTAGAGGCAGAGACGAAGGCCGCCGAGCAGGCCTCCGACAAAGAGTTCAGGCAGTTCATCGAGGACTCCCGGGTCGACCAGGCTGAGAAAAAGATGGACTCCCAGCATCTGGAAGAGAAGAAAGAGCAACAGAGCAAGCTTCTGGCTCAGAGGCAGGCAGACCGGACTTCTCTGGAGACGCAGCTGGATTCTGCCAACAAGTACTTTGAGGAGCTCGCGAAGCAGTGCTTGTCCGATGAGAGCGATGCTGCAAAGAGAGAGGCACTTCGGCAGCAGGAAATTCTCAACTTGAAGACAGCCTTGAAGGAGCTGTCAGATTGAGGCTCTTGCTGTCTGGATGTCTGTTTGGTACTACAGCGGCGCAAAACGACGCCATGCAAAGCGGCTAACGGCCCGTGCAGAAACGTGCGACGCAGAGTGCTAGGATGCAAGGCAGCTTGCTGGATGAGAGCGACTTCTTGCACCGACCTGAGCCAAGTCTCTCATGCAGCCACCGACCCCAGTGTAAACACGTAGCTCTAGGTCTTCTGAGTCAGATGGTGCCCAGTGCTTACAGATGCCACCTGTTCTCGAGAACGGTCTTAGGCCGTGTGACCACCGCATAGGGAACACGAGGAGCTCTTTCGAAGCCTCATGGGAGGGAAGGACCATGGCGCCCTGCCATTCCCAACGGCTGCTGGATATGGGATGCTAGCACTGAATGGTGCAAAAGGAGGTTCCTGTGCAGAACGTACAATATGTATGTCTGACACATTCGAGATTCGAGGTGCTACGAAGTATCTCACCCTGCAGTACCTAAACTATGCTCGCTGGACCGCGCAGCAGCATAGCTGCAGCATGATAGAAGCGCCAGGACCTCAACCGAGTCCGCCAGCGCCCGATAGAGTCTCGATCAGCCGTACTTCTCAAGGCTTCGGATCATGGGCCGAACGCATCTGATCTCCGTCGATGGCACATGGACACCTCTCGGCTTTGCTAAATACTGGCGCCCAGCGGTGTCTTGTCACGGTGAACAATGGTGCTCGTGATCGATGCCGCTCAAGAAGAGTTTCTGCGTGTCCGGACCGGTTGACAGGTGACGCTGCTCAACGAGACGGTTCATTGGGGCATGAAGGTGCTCGCGGCAGGGCCGCAGCATGCCACAATTCTGAGTGATGCGCCGATGGCAGGTTCCAGCTGCCATGCTGCTCTTCCAGCAGTTCCGGGATCTTGGCTTCGGCCCTCACGGTGGTCTCTTCACCGCCGTTGCCCTGAGCACTGCCGGAGAGGCGGCTGCGGGCAGCGCACACCAGTGAGCCCTGCACACCACCCTGCGATGGATTGTGCAACTTGACCAGGTAGCCGCCACCGGATGGAGCGAACGCTTTGGTGTGCATATGGGTGCTCACCACAGACGAATTACAGACTCATGCTTGGCGCAGCCGGATCCAGAAAGTACCTTGTGCGTTGAGATCACTTCGTGCGATCGAGGCCTGCAGCAGCAGATCTCGTCGTACCGAGAGTCTTTCTCGATCTCGCGCCAGGCGCGAGTGTCGAAAACAGAACCAGGGTCATGATGTCTTGATTGAAAACCCAATGTCGAACTCTAAGGAGTGCAGGTACGTAGCACAGATACTATCCGATGGGTTGTACCCGAAGCGGGCCTGAACCATCAAGAACACAAGGATTGCCACCACGACATAAAGAAGTGGTCCTAGGCCAAGAAGGGGAGAGTTCCACTGCGACTGCATTCAGCGCACTTTCTGAACGGTGCTATGGCAAGTGCCAGGCTCGCCAAGGAATTCTCGCAGGTGCTTGGGCAGGTGCGGCAGGACTTTGGGTCCGAGCCTTTCACCCCTTGGATATCCTTGGATGCTGTCTGGCACGTGGCACATGTGGCACGTCTTGATATCCATGCTGAGGTCAGGAACTTTTCCTGGAACTTTGCTTTCTTCGAATGGAAGCGCTTCCTGCACAACGCCGTAGACAACAGTCCGGCCAATGCACCTGCGTGGTTCGAAGCTCACCTAGACTGGCTCCGCAGCCGAAGCCTTAAGACATGGTCCTGGTCGTCCGGCAGAGCAGGACAGGAACCTCCGTGTAGTCCCTTGCAAAGAGGCCTGGAGAAGAAAAACCAGGCGAATGTCCTCACGTTTGAGGCTGCGACACTTGGCCGGGCCCTCGGGGGACGTGCTCCGGATCGATGGGTTCCGCAGATCACATCTATGCCTGGCATCACGAGAAGCAAACCAGCCTCGCTAATTGTGAGCATCAGGCACGTACCTCACGTTCTTCAACATGGCCGGAGACAACGTCAAGACCAAGATGCAGGCTCGCAGCTCAAGATGATGGTACGTTGCTCTTGCGTACGACACCTCATTCCAATCGTAGGTTCCCTGATGCTCCGAGCCACTCTCCGATCCACCCCCCCCCCCCCGAAAACGCGTGCTGGAGTTCAGCGAAAAGTATCTCATGCGGACGCCACGAATGATCGAATTCTCGGCGCACGTTAGATCCTGAACTCTGAAGTTGTTTGTATCGTCGTAGCATCGTAGCCTTGACGCGTTCAAAACTTCCTAAGTGACAGGCGAGCTTCAAGCTGTTGTCCCCAGAGCGTTCGCAGACCCTGCTTCCGTGCTACGAGCATGTGGTATATCCTCCAAGCCACACTCTCAAACCTGCAGTCCATGCCATGACCGGTCAAGCTCGCTGTGTGTGCTTTTAAAGCGGTGCAAGAGGTGAATTTGGGTTCCTATTGTGAGCTTCATAGGTGTTTTTTTGCTAGGATCGAAGAGCTCTCCTTCCTCGCTTAAGGTGGATCCTGCGCGGTATCCCAGCTTTAGCCTGACCGTCCGCGACATCTATCACAAGCACGGACTCCTCGGCTTTACCAGGGGAAGTCTGTTCAAAGGGATTTATCTTATACTTGGGTCGACCCTCGCGATAGGCATTCAGGAAAGGCTGACGGAAATCATGGCAGCCCTATTCCGATGAGCCTTTGCTCGAGGCGGCTTGTGCTGTCAGGTTTGCACGGGAAGTGGACCGTAGACGGCCAAGCTGTGCTACTGATGCGTCCTTCTCACTCATCGATTTGGAGAATTTTCCTCGCGAGAGAGTGACAAGACTGAATCGCCGACTTGCTTGCTAAATTGCTTGCTTGCCTGCTTGCTTGTACCAGTAATGGAAAGCTTTGATTACTGGCTTGCTTGTAGCTCGCGGCATCCAAGGCTCAGTAAAGTTCAACCTATCCCAGCCTGCTTGTGAAGCAGGGTACAGCTGCAATGACCGCAAAAACTGGTACCAACATGAGAACACGGTTGCAGCGAATGGCTCCTTATTGAGTACTATGTCGTATGCGGGTGGAGCCAGTGACTGAGCAACCGAACCAAGATTTGCAACATGGCAGTCTGCAGTCGAACCCAGCGAACCGAAGGCGTCAAGCCCTTCTGCGAAGCGTCCTGGGTGTCTTGTCTGAACTCTTTGCTTGCATGGCATTGCACTGGGAGCATTGATGCTGAATTTCCAGCTGCAGTTAGGGCTCAACCCACTGCAGACTGGTAGAAGCCCTTTAGGGCTGGCTCCGTTCTTCTCGCGGAGTTTTTGTACGCGTCAAGGTCTATCAGGACTCCGCGGGACGGTGACTCTGCCGCCCCCCCGGCGTTTTCGCCTGCAGTGCCCTGCTGCTTCACGGATTGGTTGGTCAAAAGAATCTGAACTTTGCAAATGAGGCCTACGTGCAGGACTCAAATGCTGTATCTGAGGCCAAGGGGCGCTGCTTGCCGCTCTTCAACTCAGCCAGAGAAAGCTGAGCGGGATCTCTGGGGATCGGGGCCTGGAAGGCCGTCAAGAAGATCCAAAGTTGTGCGGCAGACATCCGCAAAGAGGCCAACTTGATCCTGGCCTGAGATGCACGAGTCTATGGTGGCTGGAAGCTGTTCAGACCCACTTGCTCGGGTCCGTCCAGCTTCAGTCGTCACGCAAGAAGGTGCTGATTCTGACCTTGCACCTAGCAGGTTGTCGCTCGTGTGTGTGCAAGACAGGTGGAAGAAGCCGTTCATTTGGGGAAGCAAGCGGTGGATGAAGGGAAGAGGCATTTGCAGAAGGCCAGTGCTGCGATTTATCGAATGATGGTATGCATACCAACAGTGCGTTCTGTGTTTGCAGCTTAGCTGCCTGAGCGGCGGCAGCATCAGCGAGCAGCGATCTCGGGTATTTACCCAGCAGATGCTGCGCCGGGCTGGCATGTTTGCAAACAGCAAGTGGCAGTGGGGAACACAGGAGAGACTGAAAGGTGAGAAGCTGGAAATTGCCACCACAGACCTTGAGGAAGTGTTGGGCAAGGTCGCTAGACTACTAGCATCTTTGCTCCGAGTCTCAAGGCCACATTCCAGGCTTTCGAAAAGACCGCGAAGAGCAGCTGCGCACCAAGTCACATCTGTACTGCAAATGAGCTCTACACCTTGACCTCTGAAACGCAAGTTCCCTGCATTCACACGGCAGCAAAGGGGAGTCTGCTCAAAGCAGATCTTCCGGCGGAAGGCGGGCCATTCCTGTCGATTTGCATATTTGCATTGCCTAGGGCTTGACCTAGCTAACTGAAACAGGCTCAATGAGCACGTCGAAATGGGTGCCATGCCCGGTGGTGCCAGGCGCTGAGAGGCGTAGGCTACTCTTGATGGAACTCCACATGTGTGCAACTGATGTAGCAGTCGAATTTTCTCACAACTCAAATTCCTCTGAGACGCTCCCGAGGCCGAGTTTGGAGTTGCACGACAGCAAGTTCAAGAAGCAAACCTGATTTCCGAGGCGCTGCCGAGCAAAAGCCGTTCATTCCCGATACCCGAAACTGCGGTGCCCAGGGTGAAGCTGAAATTCATGCTGCCATGGTGGACGAGTACGTCGAGCAGGCTTCGAGCAGATGGCACACAGTCTGTCCCTTCCTCTGTTTCTCTTCCTGCCTGGCTTCCTCAACACGATGGATGTCACATGCCTCCATCATACAGTCAGAGCACGAGAGAAGGACTATGCTACTCAAACTACGCTACCCAACCCGTGCTCGCCAAGAACACGGGTCGATGTCTGGTCTAAACTGGCTGTGCTGCCACCAGCTGTGTCCCGAACACTAAGCCTGCAGTCCTGCAGATATCAACAATCGAGCAAGATGTTCGAGGTCTGCAGCAGGCTGGCTTTGCAGAAGGGTGGCTCTGCACGAATGCGCATGCGCAGCGGGCGAGCGCCAGGCCATGGTAGATCTGGCCACCCATGCGAAGGCGGCTTCCCATGGGGAACTCTTAAAGACAAGCACTGCATGCAGGCTCAAAGCGACATGCTTGACCACATCGAAGCCCACTCCGAATCCTCGTCTGTCGCTACTGCAGGTGCAATTGCTGTCGGATTCCGATGCTCTTGCAACCTGCACACACTGCCCAGATGCTACTACGCAGCTGACACAAGCCAGCCGCTCGCAAAGGCACACGGGCTCCAAGCATCTCCATAGAGAGTCCAGCATTTGCCAGGCGTGGCTCGAAGTTCGTTTATTGGCTGCTGATGCTCTCAGCTGCTGTTGCGGTGAGTAGCGAGCCTTTGTCCTTCGCCCACGGGGCAAAGCTTCCTCTTGACGAACTCAGGCTGCTGCTAGCAGCAGTCCTCGCCGTCATCCTAATCTTCGTGGTGGTGAACAAGAGCTCCTCGGGCTCGTGAGGGTTAATGGATGTGGGGCCTGCAAATTGCAGATCCCCGGTAGTATCGTTAATGCAGCTGTGAGCAGTGCTCACTGACCTATTGCTTGACAAAGGGTGGGCCGCGGCTTATTGTGATCGCGCCTTTCCTTGCATGATACAGCTTTTGGGCATGGAACCGAAAGAACATACAGTACCTTGGGGCTAGGAACTCGTTATGCAGCATGCCACATGCTTGCGACTTCCTCTCAAGACTGGGTTTTGTAATGATCGCCGCGCTGTGGCCGGGCTGGCCCGCCTGATGCTTGGTGGACCACAGCGCAGGGCTCCACGAAGCCGAAATGTCGCTGACATGTCCCAAGGCGCCATGGCGACACCCAAGGGAATGCGAGCAAAGTCCATTGGTGCGAAACCGAGCAAAAGCCTAAACCCTACACCCCACACCCTAAACCCTAAACCCCCGGCTGCAATCACAGAACGACTCAGGATCCTCAGTTCGACTGCACCTAAACGAGGCCACTATATCCTCGGCAAGACGATCGGGGAGGGGACCTTCGGAAAGGTCAAGCTCGGAACCCACATTCTTACGGGCGAGAAGGTGGGTCGCCAGCCTGCGAAAACCGAAGACATTACGGCAAGAACACAGTTGGAAAACAGGCTTGTCTGTGTCAGGTGGCGGTGAAGATTCTCGAGAAGGAGCGAATTGTGGCCGGGACCTTGTTCTGCGACCGCTATGGTTTTGAGGTGGAACCGAGCATCGGCTTCTTAGGATGTTGCTGATGTGGAGCGAGTTGCCCGGGAAATTCACATCCTCAAACTGGCGCACATGGCCTGTTGAGCTGACTGACTTGCGTGGTTTCGTCTCGACATGCGACATCATGAGACAAGGTGCAGCATCCGCACATAATTCAGCTCTACGAGATCATAGAGACACCACGTCAACTGTGCCCCGTGATGCCGCAATTCAACTGATGCACAAGGAAGTCTTGCGGCCAGAGGTATCTCATTATGGAGTACTGTCCCGGTGGGGAGCTCTTTGACTACATCGTGGCCCAGGGCCGGGTGAAAGAAAGAGAGGCACCTTGGGATATCTTGTCATCGCAGTCAACTGAGCGTGACAGCTGCGCAGGCATGCCGCTTCTTTCACCAGATCATGGCCGGGGTTGAGCAGATCCATAGGATCAGCAGTCCGCGTTTAGAAAGCTGTCCACGTTCGAGAGATCTTCTCTATGAGGGGCACTCTTGGCAGCCTGCATTCTGTATCTGTGGTTTCCTGTGAGTGCGCTCCCGAGAGGATGAACGTCGTTCATCGAGATCTGAAGCCTGAGAATCTGCTGTTGGATGAGCAGAGAAACATCAAGATCGTGGACTTTGGCTTGAGTAACACATACCAGGCGGAGTCCCATGAAACACGGCTTGGATCCAGGATTCCATGCAGCGTTCTGGCAGGATGGTCAGCTTCTGAAAACCGCCTGCGGGTCTCCGTGCTATGCGGCCCCAGAGATGGTTGCAGGTCAGCGCTATGTGGAGACCTCAGGATCTGACGATCTGATCTTGAGGCTTCCGCATTGTTCAGCTTTGCATGTGAAGGTTCCATCCCGTTGCGACATATGGAGCTGCGGCGTGATTCTTTTTGCCTTAGTCTGCACGGATCTTGGTTCGAAGAGGCGAGACCCTGGCCGATGCAACGACATGTCAGCTGAGGTGGATATCTTCCATTCGAAGATCAGAATACATCGGCCTTGTACCGCAAGATTCTGAATGCAGACTACCAGGCGCATTGCTGGAAGCCAGCCCGGCTGATGGCTGCGGTATGGACGTTCAAGCTCGCTGCAAAGGCTCCGAAGTTTATTTCGGAAAACGCACGCGACCTCATTGCCAGGACTTTGGCAGGGAGAGTTTGCCGATGCGGGATTGCTTTGATGACGCTAGAAACTCCGAATTGAATCAAGGATGTTGAACACTGACCCTGAGCAGCGCTACACCACGCCAAAGATCCGAGCACATGCTTGGCCCCCCTGCGAAGACTTCGGCAGACTTCGATTCGCCTACTGAGCCCTGAGCTCCTTTGCAGGTACCGGCAAATCAGCGAGGCGTCGCTGTCCCTCAATGGAGGCGTGCTTGTCAAAGATGCCTCAGAAGACTTTCCTTTCACTTCGCAAGAGAAGAGCTACACGCACAGGTGCCGGGTCCAAGATCCTTGAAGAGGACGTGTGCCATCCTTGGCCGTTTCCCTTCCTTGCGTACTTGTCTTGGAAGAATTTGGAAGAGTTGAGTCTGCTGCTCTGTGAGACTGCAGGCTGGACCAACTTGACCGTTTCGGCTTTCCCAGAGACTATGCCATCAAGTGCTTGCATCCCTGTCTCGATTTATGCTTCAAGAAGCTGCCAACTTGGCAAACTTCTGCAAAAGCGGAGCATTGGGTCGGGGGCGAGCCCAAATTCTGACAAGCTTGATTCAGATGGTTGAAAACCCTTCCGGCTGATGCCAGGCAGATGGGAAAGCACAACCATGTCACCACCACGTATCATTTGCTCGTCGAGAAGAAGAAGCGCTCAGGTGGAAGCTTGAAGGCCTGTTCCAGTAGCTCCTCTCGAACGTCGGGTGAGAGAGACGAGCCGGCCAGTCCCGCAAACAGACAGAGACTGATGGAGCGCGACAGCTGTCGGGGAACTTCGTCGCAAGATGTCGCAAGGACATGAGGGTGGGGAGGCTTCGACGACGTTGGTCCCCAACCGCCTAGCAAGTCAGCCAGCAAGCCATAATGGTCCCTTGTCTGTGGCACTACATGTCCTTGGGGATGAGCAAATTCGTGCATGTGTCTATGGTATAAGTCTACATACACATCAGGGTAACTGCTGAAGTATGCTCGCATTCCGTGCTTGTTCAGTAAGATCTTCCTGATTGTTTTCACCTCGCCCCCGCCCCTCCCTGTGCGCAGAAAGCTGCGTGCAAGGGTTGGATGCTCGCGAGGCCTTGGACCAGAATGCGCATGCTGGTTTCGAGGCAGGGCATCTGCTCGATGCTCTTGCGCTGTGGACCATGTTGAGACAGGGCCCTATCACGCGACCCGACTTCCGTGAGATGGAGTTGCCCGCCGAGCGATCTCCCTCACCATCGCCGTTCCAGGTGCCGCGCAAAGAGAAGATTAAAAAGGAATTATTACAGTTGTTTCAGTCGTTTCACTGCAGGCCGAAACTGCAGAAAAGCCCAAGCTCAGCAGCAAACTCAATTCTGACCGACTTTGAATGGCTTTCGGTTTCTTTGGGCAGTGCGCTGTATGAGGCCTTGATGAGCCAGTGGCAGGAGCCTTTTAAGGGGTCCAGTAGAGGGCTCGAGGCTAACGAAGACCAAGGGAGGCTTCGTAGAGAGCTCGGAGCCGAGGCCCGCACGATCGCCGCAGACGCAGATCGCGCGGCCGGCGGATCGTCGCCACGTTCTGCAGGAGGTTCCAAGACCCCAGAACCAGGAGTGAAAGATAGTCTTTGGAGCTGTCAGCAACTGGGCCTTCAGTGTCCCCGACTTTGCGAGGAGCTCCGAACTACGGGAACTGGGTGCGGTGCTTGAGGGCAACCCGGACGGCCTGCACACGTTCCGATAGCGATGTTGGTGGAGGCCTTTCCAGGGCAACTTCCTGGACAAGTTGCACCTGGGCATGCTCCAGGCTGTCAGAGAAGCCAAAAGGCCAAAGTCGGTGCATGGTGTCTCCGGCAGGTCCCGTCAAAAGCCAGGCGAAGTCCTCAGGATTGCTGAGATGCAGGCATAGGATGGCCCAGCAGATTGTAGAGATGTGCTGGCATCACGAGTGGTATCTTGTGACAGTGCAGGCAGAGGCTTCAAGCAAGCCATTGGAGTAAGGATCTCGGTCACTGCTGCGACATGCTGCAATTACTTGTGTGTCGGAACAGTTGCCGAAGTCATTCGGCCAGGCCACGGCCGCCCTCTACAGGTGCCGCCCGATTGAGGGCATGAGCGTGCATGAGCAAAACTACTGCTGATCTCGAACGATCTTGCTGCCACATCTAGGGCATCCCAGCCGTGGCCGTCACCAAGACATGCCCTGTCCTCGGATGTTGGCGAACACTAGCGTTTGCCCTCTGTGGACTCCTTGAGTTGCCTTCTCTGAGGAGTCACACAGCCACTCATGGGACTTCGACGTGTTGGGCCGAGGGCGATGCAAGCGATGCCAAAGCTGCGCCCATCAGTGAATTGACAGTAAGCTTGCTGCCCAGGCCCGTTGGCAGGCGAAAAGTCTCCTCATCTCAGGCACAGCGCATCTCTTGATGCTACCATGCTCTTGCAAGTCGTGGTGCCTCTCGGCCTCTCGGGACAGGCCCAGACGCCGAACGGATCCTCCTTCCAGCCGGCATCAGGTGGTAAGTCTTGAGTTTCATCTCCAGCTCCGAACAGCTGGTGTGCAGGCACTCCGACACCAAGAGGCTGCTGACTCAAGTTTGCAGAGATTTTCTGAAACGCAGAACTGCGAGCACCTGAGACCACACCGCGAGGATATCGAACGAGCACGCCTAGCGGCCGCCACAATGCAGGTCCGACCGGCCTGCACATGTGCAGCAGAGACGTTGATACGTGCCTTATGAATGCCGCTTTGCGGTTGCAGAGCCTACGCAGACATGGCTCATAGATGCTGGTAGTGACAAATAGTGGCATTGCGATTTGTTGCATCAATCCTAGTTTCAAGGGCTGCGACTTTACGTAAGAAGCCACGCCTACGCACTTTAAGTGCTCATTGAAGCAGGTTAATAGGCCAGCTCAAGGATCAAGCGGTGAAAACTGCTGTGAACATAATTCACTGGTGGGCTGCATGACGCTGTATCCTCCAGCCGGCGCTTGTGGTGTCTTGCAGCTCGAAGTCTGCTGGGAGAGCGACTTGAAGATCAAAGTTGGTGATGACATCGTTCCTGTCCATCGAAGCGTTTTGATGGGTGGACGCTCGCGCTTCCTCTCAGATTTGCTGGGCCCAGACTTGTCAAGTAGCGAGGGACCAGTTACCATCCAGCCGCCGCATCCTGAGCTTTTCTTGCGAGCTCTTCATTGCATCACGACGCGAGCACGCCCAGAACTCACAGAAGCAGAGTTTGTCGGCTTCGTAAGAACTTCTGCTTTCCTTCAGAGTGATGAACTTGATGAGCGTTTGTGTGAAGCTAGTCTCTCCTCGTGGAAAGCGCTGACTCGCTTGAATGACTTTAGGAACCCCTGTGTTCCTGCACCGTTCTTGGAGCGTATGCTCCTCATGGCCAGAGAGCACAACGTCATGAATGTAACTGATTGCCTGGAGGTTTTAGCCATGTGGTGCAAGGATGACATTGACGGTGGTGACACCGTCCTGGAGAAGTTGATCAAAATCTCCGATATGGAGGCATCTGAGCTCAAGCGACTGCAGCACATTAACCCAAGATTTGTGGAACTTCTGTCCTCCACGCAAGTGTATCAGATTATGGGGAAGGCGTGCTTCCTCTGACGAATCGCCAAAGGGCGTCTGAGCCGCTGAGCCACATGAGCTTCAATTGAGGCATCCAAAAGTCGTATCGTTCTCTCGCTTTTTTTGGGAACATTCCTCGCAGGCGAACCGGTTGCTTCACATGTTCACAGAGCACACGAACTCGCCAGGTGATCCTGGGCCTCAAAGCGCGCGGGAACCACAGAGACCTGGCACTTCACAGGCGGCCTTAGTCCAGAAAAACTTGGCCTTTCCTTTTTCCTTTCCTCTTCCGGCGGTGATGCGGTCAGGGCATGAACACCCCAACCCGGCCCGCCGGGCCGGCCTCATCACGCCCTTTGGCTTGCCAACACCCTAGGAAGGCTCCCTGTTTTTTTTTGCCTGAGCTCAGGTGCTCAGTATGTGAACGAGGCGCGAAGGAGGCTCGCGCCTTTCGACTCTCGACTCTAGACATGAGATGCAGCTGCAAGCAGTTGCGGCTCCAGGCACTATGCAGCGCCGGAGGTGGGCCACTTTCACTCACCGCTGTTGCAAAGCTGAAACCGATTGACTACAGGCTTCTTCAAGCTTTCCGGTGCCCCACAGACGGCCATCAAATACCAGCAGCCCCTCGCTGAGCAGTGCTTTCAGCACTTTAGCAGTGCAGCAAACACCGGTGACACAGTGACAGTGGCACCTCGGTCGCACCAGGCCGCCGCATCGGTGGGCCAGCAGAGGGTGCTGCAGCAACAGCAGCATCTGTGGCAGCAGACCTCTACACTGGCCATGCCGCTGTCAAGGACTTACTAACCGTATGCCAAGCGATCTCACGTCGTGGGGGATTTACAGACGAAGTGCTAGATAGCTGGCAAACCAAAACAAGGCTTGGACGAGCCGCACATATGGGGCGCGTGCAGCTTCGACAACGCGCTGTCCCCCAATGATGTACATTTGTTGCAAAAGCACGGGCGATGCTCGGACCTCACATACAGGCCGGACGGCATTCACGGCTCCTCCGGTGAAGTGCTGGGTGGACTCCCAAGAGATATGCTTTCCATCGGTCCGGCATGTAAGACTACACTGGAAGGCCCTGGTTCGGCCAGAGACAACAGAGACCAATCCATGCGAACATGTCCTCCACTCAGCTGGTCATGGAACGGCAGCCAATCTTCGCAGGACAGCGTGCTCGAATCCACGAGGTCGTGGCGCTTTCAACGTCTCCTGCACCTCTTCCAAAGCACCGAAGCAGATCATGCAGGAAGATGTCAGTCAAGTGTACAGTGTGCAGACTGGAGACCTGGTGAACACGAGGAGATACACAAGGCGCTAACATTGCAGCGAGTGGTCTTCAAGCAGGCCCGGCAAGGACTCGCCAGTGCAGCAACATGTTTTCGCACTGACCCGTCTCAGGCAAACACCTTTCTCGTGCGTTGTCAAAAGCAAAGCGGGCGCCCCGAGGGCGTCGGATACCCCCAGCGAGAGCAGCTGGCGCAGTTCTCGGGCGTTCATGCCGAGGTTTGCGCTTTGAGATGGAAATCTCTCATCTGGATCACCTGGAATCGCCCCAGCCTTGGTCGAGCTGCCAGCTTTCAGGCAGCGACTTGATCTAGGTACTCCCAAACTGTGCAACTGAAGCAGTAGTTAAGCCAAAAGATGTGCGGTGTCACCAGGGTGACACGCAGCGAGGATTTATGTTGTTCGTTTCAGACGCGCAGCTGGCGAGCCGGGCGCACAGCTGCTGAAGTGGAGGTGTCCTCTTATCCAGTGAAGAACTGTCTGTGAGGCTCGCATCGTACAAGGAGCTTTGCTCCCGCGTGCTGGCCGAAATGAAAATTTAATTCTTATGTGATGCATCTGCAAAGACTTCCCGAGGGCATGCCCCACCACCGATTCCAAAGAGACTGAAACTTATTCCGCCGTCCATATCAGAATGGGCGTCATCGGAAGCAATAATTAGTTCAAGACCTCCAAAGGCAATTTCCAGTTGCGCAGAGGTTGGTCTCACCCTCGTAGCCATCGTAGCAGCTAGTGACTTTCTCTGGAAACATTCCAAGAGCGAGGGTTTGCTGAGCTAGAGCCTCCAGTGGCCCTGCTGCTGACAGCGTCGCGAGACTCTGCAGACGGATCAGAGTCTTCGCCTTCTGCGCTGGGCCAGCTCGGTTGTAGAGCACGCAACAAGGCCTCTTATCGGCCGTGCACGAATCTCCGCAGGTCTTTGATTTCTGCGTCGGTGTCGCAGCAAAGCGAAGTTTCACTGAGGCGTTCTGCCCTGAACGTCGCCTGCTAATGGTATGTGTTTGTGCTGCGACATTATCTGGACTCATCTAGATATTTCGCTAGAACATTCTGATGCAGCACAGACCCTTTCACTTGGTTGCTTAAATTTGGTGGCCGAGTGCTTTCATGTGTTGGCTCCTGTGGACGGGACGCGGGTTCGACAGGAGAAAAGCCTCTGGGAGTCAGGAGGCAAACTGTGCCCCGTTAAGAGCCTTGCAGGTCTGAATAGAAGGGCGCAGGGTTCTGGAGCTCGGCGGAGGCTTCCTACAAGGCTTCGTGGACTGCCTGAGGCCTGGATCTGCGCAGCCTTTGAGCCACGAGCTGTAGCTCTGAAGTTGGTTCTGCAAGCAGTTTCATATTTACGCTCGTTAGCAGATAACATCAATGCAGATGCCGCCATATCCATATTATCATATTCAAAGCTTGGAACAGAGTGATATGTATTGCAGTGTCTTCCAGTCGTCCCTGCAGCTTGCGCTTGTGTTGCCCATGCCACGCTGCAACTGTGCAGCGGATGTTTAGTTATGGACCATGCAGCAGGGCCAGAGCAGCATCCAGTTTTCGCAGCAAGAACTCGAGTACTACCAACAGCTGTATTCCATTGCGAACCCCGCCGGAACGCAGAGCATTGATAGTATTTCCGGAGGGCAGTTCCTTGTCCTGAGTGACCTGCCCCGCGAGAGTTTGCACGAAATTTGGAAGATCGCCTCTGCAAATGCAACACAGGGATACCTGCACGTGGAAGGCTTCTATGTGGCTTGTCGACTTGTAGCTTGGGCACAGTCAGGCATTCAGCCAGACCCACAATGTGTATATCAAGAGCCACCAGTTCTCCCAGATTTTCCAGGGCTGCAAAGACGGAGTCCATCAGAACCATCTGGACAGGGCTCGAGAGCGCAAAGCGTTGGTGGCAGTGAGCAGTCCGAACTGCAGCCTGTGATTGGCGGTCGTGGAAGGCGCCAGGAGAACACGCAGCGAGCTCGTTCCTCCTCCCCTCGGACTTTCACGACTGACCGCTGGGCACCCTCGCGCCGCGAGAAGCGGAAGTACGCGTCCCTGTTCAAGCGGACGGACTGGGACCAGGATGGCTTCGTCCAGGGCAATGAAGCAAGCGAGCTCTTGGAGCGATCCGGGCTCGAAAGATCATCGCTGGGAAGAGCCTGGGAGCTGGCAGACCAAGATTGCGACGGCAAGTTGGATTTTTCGGAGTTTGTCTGCCTGGTTCATCTCGTCACCTGCGCTCTACGCGGCCAGAGAATTCCGGGCCCGGGCGAAGGGCTGCCTCATCAGCTGGCGCAGTCCCTTGCGAGCCTCGAGCCACTGGAGGTTCTGGCGGCAGAGCGTGAGGCCAGCCGGAGTCGAAGCAGGAGTGCATCACCGCACCCGTCGGTGACAGGCGCACAGCTTGAACACAGAGGCGAGCGGAGGGCTCGGTCATCGTCTCCACGCACCTTCACGGCAGACAGGTGGGCGGGGCCACTCAAACAAAAGGCATGTCTTTGCATTTTGGTTTTGCCAATGTTGCAGCTTTTCTTGCTAGAGTAGCGGCGTCTCGCAGCCAGTTTATTCAAGGGTTTCTGGAAAGTTGGACATCACGCTCGATTTCCACGAGTGAGATGGTGATGTGTCGAAAAGCGCAGGCCCAGTAGCACACAGCTTTTCAGCATTTCGAAGGCGATGCTGAACGGCTTGCAACAGCAGCACGGACAGGTGACAGGCTGTTTGCTAGTGTTGCTAGTGTTCGCGCAGCTTTAGTATACTTCAGTGGCACACAGCAGAAGTGCAGACGGCCCGACCACTCACACACTCACTGGTAGCTGAAACTCTACGGTGTGGCGAGCTGTTGAGGATTTTCAGCTGGGGCACTCGGGCTGCAGCAGGAACTGAGCCATTTTCCGCACGAAGTTTGGGACATGGAATTCTGTGAAGTCGCACAGCTCTTGAACCCAACATCAATAGCACGGCCCAACCTGCTTGAACGCACTGAAGCAAGTTGAAGTTGAAGCTAACATGCGTTCATGCTCCGTGCAGCACGGCCATCAGGTGGGCACCCTCGCGCCGCGAGAAGCGGAAGTACGCGTCCCTGTTCAAGCGGACGGACTGGGACCAGGATGGCTTCGTCCAGGGCAATGAAGCAAGCGAGCTCTTGGAGCGATCCGGGCTCGAAAGATCTTCGCTGGGAAGAGCCTGGGAGCTGGCAGACCAAGATTGCGACGGCAAGTTGGATTTTTCGGAGTTTGTCTGCCTGGTTCATCTCGTCACCTGCGCTCTACGCGGCCAGAGAATTCCGGGCCCGGGCGAAGGGCTGCCTCATCAGCTGGCGCAGTCCCTTGCGAGCCTCGAGCCACTGGAGGTTCTGGCGGCAGAGCGCGAGGCCAGCCGGAGTCGAAGCAGGAGTGCATCACCGCACCCGTCGGTGACACCAGTAGAGCCTGCAGTTGCAGAGCTGTCCGACCCCTTCGCTGCTGGCGAAAGCTTCCCCAGTGTTGAGACCAAGGATGCCGGCAATTGGCAAAGCACGGGCTTCGAAGACACAGCCGCTTTCGCGTCAGGTTTCGAAAGCGAAGGAGGTTTTGCATCTGGAGGCTTTCAAGATTCGACTGCTGACTTTGGGTTTCCAGCATTTCCAGATGGCCAAGTCGACCAGGCTTTTGAAGCTGGTGCATCTGCCAGCTGGCCCCAGGAGCTTCCAGAGTTCGAGCAACCTGTCTCAGCTTTTGACGACGGCGCCTTTGAGGGCAAAGATCCTTTTGCAACCGACCACCTGGGTCTAAGCGGACCGGCAGAGCAACTGAACTTGGTTGCAAATTTCGACGGAAAGCTCGCAAGGAAGCTGCGAGATGAGGTTGATCAGCTTGATGCCGAGCTAAGGCGTTTGCAAGACGCGGATGTAAAGCTTGAGCAGCAAGCTGCTCACGAATCTAGGGAATGTGAAAGGCTCCTGTCTCAAAAGCAAATTCTAGAACGAGAACTTGCTGAAGACAAGCAGAAGCTCCAGCAGCTGCAAGATGCACGCAGCAATGCCAACCTTGAGAGCCTTTCTTTGCGTCGTGACCGCAATCACCTGTCGCATGAACTCGCGTTTCTCAGACAGGTCGCTGAGAACGATGAGGAGATGTTGCTCATGCTCAGACAATCCAATCAGTACCTGGAAGCTTCCTACCGCAACCTGGAGTCGAACTCCGAGATGCTGAAGGAGATTCGTAAAGAGGTTCAGGCAGAGATTGCCAAGGAGAGAGAACAGCTCCAGTTGGATCAGCGCCAGTACGCCGAGCTCAAGGCCACCTTGGAGCAGCTGAGCCGCCCAGGCCAAGATCCGTCAAGCTTCAGTGAAGACGGACCTGGAAAATCCCTCGCAGATACGCTGACCGAGCGTCTAAAGCCTCTGCCGACATCTTCGCTCCTTCCGCCGAAGTCGTTTCCGCATCGAGAAGGAGTTTGATATCGACGGGCCGACGGGCCATATGTATTCACACGTATTCATTGCTAATGCGCTTTGTACAGTCTCTGACAGAAGGGGGCTTCATCCATCCGAGCGGCGGAACAAAGCCCGAGAAGGGTCCGAGTGCTGCACTAGCCATTGTAGGGCCAGACAAGGCCCGTTGTGACTCCCATCTTTTGCTCAGAGGCTTTGACTCCCAGGAGTCTTCCAAGCCCAGAATCGAAGCATGTCGAAACCTGGTCAGAAATCATAGAGGCTACAGTAGCTCTTGAGAAGATTACTTCAAATCCAGGCTGTTCAAGAAGAGCCTGACTGCGGCTCTTGCTCCAAGTAGTGCACGCAATGCTGGCGAAGCGTTCGTCGAAGCGCGGCCTGGACGCTCAAAGAAGAGCCTGGCACTGCTGAGATATGGCGAGTAAGATGGGTCCGGAACTGAGAGTTTCTGCGACGGTGCCGACAGAACGGCAGGATGTGAAAGCTGCACCATGATACGGTCAAACGCAGGCTTCGCGCACAATCCTGTGTCTGTTCAAGCAGTTGGGTGGGCAGATGACCAAGGTCTGCAGGGAGGGAATATGGAATAGGGGAGGGCTCAACACGGCTTGCTGCAGCTGCTTTCCATGCAGGACGTCGTGCGGAGATGGAGGATGGTTTTGTCTTTGTGGATCAGGCGGGAGGCCCAGACAGGACAGGCATGGAACAAATGGAGTCCTTGACCTTGTAGTTGCTGCACCAAGAACACTTCCACTCCCTTTAAAGACTGCGTTACTAAGTTTGGCGGCCGGGAGCGCAGTGCCTTCTTTGCCGTGTATGACGGACATGGCGGTCGCCAGGTGGTCCAGGCCTCAGAAAGGACGCCAGGTGAGCCATTGATGCCACGTTTGCAAGCGCAACAGTCTCGCACAGTGAATAAGCGTTGCAGCTCTGCCAGTTCCATTGAACTGAAGCAGACGCGTGACTCAACAGTTGCTATGACATTGCTCCATCGTGCATACAGAGAGCAGGCTCGATGGCCACAAACCTTGAATGCTAGCGAGAATGTTTCCACTCACCAGGTAGACTTTGTCACCCGCGAGTTGCACGAAAACCTGCTGCGGGACGCGAACCAGCGTGCATTTTTTACATGCGCAATCCCAGTCGCTCGTTTCGTGGGAGTCCGTGCAGACGCAGGAGCTGCGCAAGACAGACTCACCAGCTGACGCATTGCTGCAGGCGTGGACACCTCTCAACGGTGAAACGAGACAGATTAGAGTTGACAGTCTGGCAGGCTTTTCGAGCCACTGACGATGATATGCTTCGCAGGAGAGTATCCATTTCAACAGCGACTACCCGGGCTGCCCTAGAATGGCACAGTTGCTCTGACCACGTGAGGAACATCACTTCCTCGGGCTGCACTGCATGCTGCTGTCTTCTGCAGGCCCTCTGAGCCCATTGTGGAGTTGAATGTGCCTAAGCCTGCAACCCCACCGACAGCCACCTTTTGTCGAGACTTTTGACGAAACCTGACTCTTCCCGAGCTTGCCCCAGTTGTCTTTCATCAGAGATGCTCATGGATCCGCTGAGTCTTCGCATAGTCAGTGAGTGAAAAAGGTCAAGCTTACTTCTCACAGCACATCGGTAGCAGAGAAGCTAAAGAAACAGCTGGATCGAGCAGGGTTTAGCGAGCTTAGCGTTAATGTGCTACAAATGCATATCAATGAACTTATCACCGTATCTTAAAGGCTTCCATGTGAAGAGCACGCTGTCGGTAACGCAACTCATTTGGTTGTCACTCGACGGCACGCTTGTCTAATTGGCTGCTGTTGCTGCGCAGCGAGCGCAAACGAGAGCCTCACCGTTCCCGAAGTTCTCGTCGTCTCGCTTCAAACTTGCAAGACCCGCAAGCAATTTTGGTACCGTTCTGAAAGGCAGATGTTGGTGAACCATCGCTTGGCACTACTGAAAAGAACATGAGCATGCTGTGTCAAGAATGCCTGAATATGCCTGAATTGAAAATCGGGACGAGGGCTCCCGGCTGCTACAGTACTGGGTCGTCTGCGTCGGTCTGGGCTCACCGCCTGGCAAGCTATACATCCGTCACGTGGGATTCATCGATCTTGACGAACTGCTGGTTTGGCATAGCGCTAATCATGTTCACTCACCTTTGGACTTCAGTGCTGGTTGCATTGCTCATCGCCCTTGCGTGCTCATGTCTTGGTACAAAGCTTCGATCTTATTCCGAAGGTCCCCCAGCACGCAGCTTGGCGGACCCTCCGTTGCTGATGGATGCATTTACATGTGATATGCTTGGAGCCCGCCTCGTCAGCTCTGTTTGCCTTCCGTTGCTGATGTGATTGGATGTGATGATGCTTGGAGGCCGCCTCTGTTTCGCTTGCCGTCCCTCAAACCTAGGGTCCCCTGGTCCCGCCCTCAAGTAGCTACCGCCAGTCGCAAGCAAGGGACACCCGCAACCCGCTGCTCCTTACCAGCGCATATTCGAGGGGGAGTTCTTTGGGAGTGAAAGTAGCAGTCCTCCGGCATCAGCCCGGCCTGCATATTATCACCCGAAACGTTTCTGTTTCGACTCGGTGCAATGTCAGTGCCAGGCGTGCTGTCGAGGGAACAGACAGAGTCCACTGCAATTCCGATGGAAGTCCAAGCCAAGCCTAGCCAGAGGATACCCTCTTTGCTCAGCGCTTGTGATCCTATCGCTTGCACCAGCAGGATGAAATTAACGGGCGCGTGATCTACACCGCGCACTTGGGGGATAGGTCAGCATCTCAAGCAGTGAAAGATGCTGCCTGACGACATGTTGATGCACTCCATTTTGACAGTCGTGCTGTGCTGGCACGAAGCGGAATGGCGACGCGAATGACGTCCATGACCGATCACAAGGCCTTGGTACCTCGTAGGCACGTGATGATCTGAAAATTCCAATTTGCAGAGCAGGCTACAGACCTGCTGGAAGCAAAGCGGGTCATTGAAGCAGGTGGGTGCTTTGCGTTGAGCTGCAGCTGAGCCTGGTTTCAATCTTTAGACAGAAGCTTTCTGGACACGCTTAGTCGTACTACGCAATTCCAGCATGCTAGACTTGTTACAGAGCAGACAGATGGAGAGGAACGGAGGGTGGCCGCTTGTTTCTCGGACAGCAAGGGAAACGATCTCGGCAAACGAAGCAGTAGTGGACCGCACAGCCTTGGAAATGGTAAACGCTTGTGGCGACACAAAGAGAGAACTTGGCACACACTGTGAGGTCAGGGCTTCCCTAAAACACAGACGAGAGCCAGCAGCAGCGAAGGTTTTGCACGCAGCACTGCGCGTCACAGCAATGTTGCTAGCTGCTCGCTGCTCAAGTCGTCTATGAAGCATGGTACGAGGCGGGCACATCATCAATGACCGTGTGAATGGAATGCCTCTTGCCTTCGAAATCCTGTAAGTTAGTGTAAGTGCGCCGAACTGTGTCCAAAATCGGTCTCAGCTCTCAGGTTGGCCATGACGCGGGCCTTGGGTGACCACGTGCTCAAGATGCCAGCAACGTGCCTACGACCTTCCTCAGAAGCCAATGGAGATGTTGAGCCACTGAGATGCTGCCGAACGATGTGGTGAGCAACGTGCCCGACATCACATCGACGGATCTGACGAAGCAGGACATGGGATCGTTCAAGCTGGTGACAGCCGACACCAGCCACCTTGCCGATCGCAAGTACCGGATCTCTGGCTGTTGGCTCTCAGGATAGCATAAAGAAATTATCGTCTGACAAGCCCTAGCTAGTCATTGTGCGTTGCAGCAAGGACTCACACGGAGTCAGAGCGGCTACGAAATGCTACGAAAGCAAAGAACTTGGAGTAGCTTGCTTGACAGCAGCCTCGGTCATAGCCAACAGCCTAATTAGATTGTCGAACCGAGCACAAACATGATGAATAGCAGTCCTCCCCTGCTGTAGCAGGCTGCATGGGCAATCGCACTCATCCGGGGGGTTTGTCACTTTTGGGTTTCGGATTCAAGGTAATGCACGCTCATGCAACCAGAGTCTTCTTGAAGTACTGGATTTCAGGGTACCTTCGCGAGGCGGACTCGATTCGAGGTTGCTGAATTGAACTGTTTTTGTTGACAATAGCGGCACGCAAAAGCAGAGGTTGGCAGGCAAGGATATTGCGTTGGACGTTGGGCACTTGCGATCCACGAACGAGTTCGTAGCTTGAAAGCCTAGAGTCCTAGAGCCTCGTACTTTGATAGACAGGAATGCAGGAATGCACGTGCACTAGTACAGAACATTGATCAATGCCGGAGACTTCACTCCGCACGCACAGGTTCCATATTTGACATGTGGTGCTTATGCACTTCCTTGCTGCTGAGCACCTCGACAGCAATTCAGTTTCAGACCGGATTATCATAGCTGCACTGAGCATTTCGCAACCACTTCCTTCACAATTTGTGAGGCTGGCCAGTAGCGGTGAACTCATGGCCGGCATCAACCGGAGCAGCCCAGGCTTATGACGTGACTTGTTCCGGTGCTGCCGATTCTGCCAGCCTTGCACAGGTGCGCCGGCAGGTCCCTGCCGAGAATCATCCAGTCCGCCACTGGGCTCTGGCACCTGACCCTGGCCGCTGCCTAGCCGATCTTCTCTCGAGTGTTTTCGGATGAAGAACACAGACCCTCGTGACCGTACGCCCGTCCACCTAAGGTTTAGAGGCTCTACTGAGCACACACACCGTTGAAGTTGAGGCTAACGGTCACAGGCTTACATGGCTCGTCAGCTGAGTTTCGCATGGCTTCAGTGCAAACCTACTCAGAGACTCAGGGGCTTGGCGCGCATTTGACCCTTGGCTTCATTGAGCATGTCACGATCGACGCCGCGCTACCGCCTCTCATTGATCGCAGGCACAGGACGCCTCGCAAAACGCGCGAAGGCTTCTCGGATGCAGCGAGACGGCCCGGCGGCTGAAGCGAATTCCCAGACATCTTTGCTCGGAAGGAGCGACAATGCGGTGGATGCGGTTGGGCCGACCGGAGCCAAAGGTGATCCAGGAGATCGAGGTGATGCTGGAGTGGCCGGAAAGAGAGGTCAGCCGCCTCCGGCTTTCCCTTGTTTCCTTGGTTTGCTTCACTCTCAGGGCCGGCTGGACCAAAGGGAGACAGAGGACTGCTTCAGACCAGAAATCTTTGCGAAGCCGCAGCGTCTTCTGGATCTTGCAAGGTGACCAAGGAGAAGTTGGCGACGCAGGCACATCATGGCCGTTTGCTTCCGAATATTTTCTAGCTAATGTTTCAGGACCAGCTGGAGATGCACCGGAGGCGCCAACAGCACCCCCAGGACTTAAGCAATGTCACAACTGCTCCAGCCTTCTCAGACAATGCTTCCGCCTGCAGGATCAGCGGACTTCAACATGATCGGTATTGCCATCGCCTTCCATATCACCGTTCTGCTGATCTTGTACGTACAGGTGGACGGGCTGTTCATGCAAGTGGTATGCAGAAGCTCTTTACGGATACCAGCTGAAGCTCAGCTGAAGCTCAGCTGAAGGTGAATGCCCAAATCCAAGAGCACAAGGAGTCCAAGGCTCGTGGCCTGTCGCTGCACTCGCGCCTGACGTACACCTTCCGAACTTCAGGGCGGTGCTGAAGAAGAGGGCAACGCGGACACTTTTGAGGACAGGGCAGCCTGCGTCGGCATGCCCTTTCGAGTTCTCCCTATCTGTGCTCGAAGGAGGAAGGGGCAGAAGAGGCGGGCTTGCCCAGCTTGGCAGAGCTGAACTCCTTTCGGACCCTCAGTGAAGGCGCTGGAAGAGGAAGGTCAATAGAAACCGCGAGGTTCGAGGAGCGGCCGGATTGCCGTGCCCAGTGCCATGCTGCGACATCCCCGTTTTTGCACTCTTGCAGGAGAACTTCTCATTGATGGCGCTAATGGCACTGCTATACACTGCTAAGCAGCTGTCGTCCTTGCATGAGCGACTCGCACTTGCATTGCAGAGAACCCCGGTGCGTTGTGATGTTGCAGTCCTGAGTTCGTCGGTTCATGTTGCTGGTGCCTTGGCTTGTCACTGCAAACCAACATGATAAGATCGCATACCGAGCACCAGGGTTTCTGTCACAATGCCAGATTGCAGCCAGCCATAAAGTTTCGAGCTGAGCGAAGTTAAGATATGGATGCCGAGTCACCGTGCAAAAAGAAAGTGAAGACACTTGCTCTTGCCCCGCTCATGCAAGCGCAAGTGTGCCCTGCATGGGAATTTCGGTCGACGGAGGATTCTTTCATAATCCTCGCTTGCGACGGGATCTGGGACGTCATGAATGATCAGCAGGCCCCACGCCCGGAGCTTCAACACGTTTGATTGCCCGAGCTCAAGGCAGTCCAGCTGGTGATGGAGTGCATGCAAGAGCTGACTCCCGTTGCTCGGCAGCTGGACTGCCACTGCCCTGCTTTGCACCTCTCGCCTTTGCTCACGAACGGAGTTTGCCAGGAGTCAGAGGGCCGATCATTGGCAGAGATTCTGGCACGCATGCTGGTTCGGGCCCAAGCCTCCACTCTTTGAGCCTTTTAGCTAAACTGTAGACTGCATGTAACTCACGGGTTGCTCACACTTGTGCGACGACAGGGTCCGCAGTCGCACAGCCACCGCTAAGACTTTACCAGTTCTTGCATGAGAGACAGTTTGTAGACGAGGTAGAGGAAGCCTTGGCGCGAGGGTCCAACGACAACATCAGCTGCCTTGTGATTTTCCTGTGATGCCTAAGGGCCGGCCCACCTGCTCGAAGTTTTAGTCTTTAAGCCTTTAAGCCTGGTGCAAAGCTCGCCAGCTAAACCACAACGCGTGGGCTCCAAAAAGGTCGCAAAGACTATTAAGAGCCGGGATGACCAAGCGCATAACCTGAGACAACCCCACACGTGGCTTCGGGTCATTACCATGTTATCTTCACGCAGCATAGATCCGAAAGCGGCCTGTAGTGGGGATGATGAAGTGGCACTGCATTCGGACTATGTCTGGTGCTAGATGCATGGCACTGTATATGACACTTTAGTACTTTAGGTTAAGTTTCAACGGATGGGTGATCGGCATGTCTCCCGCATCGATCAAAATAGATGAATGAGTACAGGTGCTTTGCATTGCCGGAAGACGAAACAAAGACTGCTCTCATATTTGGCATGCCTGGCTGGCTCTGATGCTGAGGGGCGTTTTCGCACGCAGACGTGCCTCGTAGGTCAATCCATGACAATCAGCCGAGTCCACTGACAACAAGGAGCACCTACAGTACTACAGTCATGAATTTGCGCATTGCTTCCCGGACGCAGGCACGCATGCATGGTTGCAAAGCTTGTGGTTGGAAATGTGATTCGTAGTCTGGTAGCGCAGGTCCATTTTCGCCACTGCATGCAGCGGGCTGCTTTCAGCACGTTCAAGACGACCGAGGTGTTTGGGGAGTTCATCACGACCCGACCGTTGTTGAAGGGATTTGGAGTTCGCAGGCTACTCTCAACCTCGTCCGTCAGCACGATCCACAGTGCAGCCTTTTTTGCATCCCGAACTCAGCACATCGTCATATCGTTTGCCTTTCGAGTCGTGGCCCGAGGTCAAAGCCGTGGCCGCCGTGGTTGCGAGCTGCCCGGCCCTCGACCGTCTCCCCTCAAAAAGACCTTCGAGCAGTTATCGTCCCACCAAGGAGATGCGAAGCAACTGGGCCGGAGAGACTGGTGCGGCTGGCGCCTCTGATGCTTCATGAACCTGCAGTTCCACATATCGCATCCCGAGTCAGGTGGCGATTTATCGTGGCTGTCAAGCAGCCCTGAAGCATATTTCGGGCATCTCATCTGAGACATGAGTGCACAAGCGACCGCCATTGCGACACACCTAGTCTGTGCTGTCGGGTACAAAGGCAGTCTGCAGCCGTTCCAAGGCGACTCCACGCGAGACAGCCTTCGCCTGTCGCGCCCTTCAGCGTCCGTTCCAGGGTGCCTCGAAGTGTCCTTGGGGCTCTCAGGTTTGTGGAAGAGCACGTGGCCTGCTGCTCATGCTGCTCGCCTCCTCTCGCTGCAGAGCGGTGCACGCGGCAAGGCCTCCGAAGAAGCACATCTTGCCGCCATGAGCGCCGTTGTTTCCCACTCGAGTCGGAAGCCAAGTTGCAACTAAGCGTGCGGGCTAGATCGTGATGTCTGACGTCAGTGAGCAGTTGGGTGATGTCACCTTGTCTAGACTGCTGTGTGAGGTGAGCAAAGCTGGATGCCAGCCGAGTCTTTTGGATTCGGTCTCGGATACATGTCCACTGCAGAACTGGCCTCGGCACTGCTGGCAATAAGAGATTCTGCAAGCACGAGTGGCAGAGCTCGATGTCGCACAAGTGGAGGCCAGAGGTGCGCGTGGCATGTATGCCGTGGGCTTGGGCAAGCGTTTGTTTGATCGCTGTGATGTCTTCGCACCTCTCGATTATTGCAGGTTATCCACGACTTATGTGCGATGCGAGACGACTGATGGTGATACTGTCGGGCCATAGTGCCTACTACCCTTCGCGGCGTCGAGGTCACAACCCAGGCAGTTGAGTCATTTGTGGAAGAGCATTACGGCGTGGACGCCTCAATTTGTGTCGTAAAACTCCGCACGTGTGATATGTTGCACTGAAGTCTCTGAGCTTTAGGACCAGATCGCACGCTTGGAAGTGGAGCTTTCAGCCGGGGAGCACCAGCCGCGCGAGGAACCAAACGTCCGCAGAACTTTAACGGCAAACAGTCTTTCGCCGCGTGGCAGGCGTATGAAGCTCTCCTCACGCTCCTGCGAGATGCATGTGGCTAGCTCGGCATGGCGTGATGTCACGAGCACTCCAAAGCTGGGCCTACGCCTAACAGCAGCGCTTGTTGCAACATGTGCGAGCAGACGAGGTGCAGACGAGATTCATCACAAAGAGGAGTCGCTTCGAATCCTGCAAGAAGTGCAGGTTCTGTCCCATTTCGTGACGCGGCGAGGATGCAGCCTTGAGGCTTACAGATCCGCACTGCAGTCCGGGACACAGGTCACACTTTCAACATCCTTTGATCATCTTTGATCCAAAGAATATTCGAGCTCTCTGTGTCTCTGTGTGTGTGTGTGTTTGTTTGCCAGCCCCCCCTCAGGTTTTCGAACCAGACTTCTGGACTCTGCTCAATTTTCGGACGGCCTGACCTGTTTTGGTGTGCTGTTCGTGGGTGTGCCGACCTGCTTTGCCAACGCCTGCCTGGTGGGCACACGTAGCGTCGTAGAGTTCGTTTAGATAAGGGCTTGGCTCTCCACCGTTCGCTGTTCACACTGAGAGAGTCACAGAATGTCAGACCGCCGCTTGTCTTTGCAGGCCGTGTACTGGGGCTCCCGGATAGGGGCTGCATTCGCCAAGCGAATCTGACATAATTATCCGTTTGCACGTTTAAAGCGGGAGTGGAGATACACAGAAGGAGCATCTCCAATGTCTAAGACTCTGAGCACATGGCCTCAAATGGGCACTCTTAGTCTTACCGGGCGGACAGAGAAGTGATGCACAAAGGAGGCTACAGGGATGAGAGCTGTTGTATGTGCTTCCGAGTCAATTTTGTCCCGCTTCAGCCCGGCTCAAGCTAGCATCAGTTTCTTGCCAGCCATCAACGCACTACTTCAGCAGACGCTCTTGTATTCGATGCCCTCCTTCCTAACATACTGGATCACCAAACCAACTGAAATGTGCACAAGAGTTTTAGAAATTCTCGAAGGTCTTGATGGAGCAGGTTACGAAATTGCATTTCAGGACCATGGAGCATCTGGCCACATTGGGAGTTCTATGGAGAGACCAGAAAAGAGTCTGGATTCTACTATTCCTGGGCATCTGGGGAAGCCTTTGTCCACTGTTGGTGCATGCTGTGGAACCTCTTTCAAGGGCTCCTTTCATGGCCTGTGTTGGGACAGAAGTTATCAAAAGGACCACATGGGAACATACACAAATCCTGGTTGACAAGTGGCCTGACATCGATCTCCCCCACTCCCGCGTGATACGGAAGGTGCTATGGGCCATTACACACAATGATATGCTCGAGGAGCATGCTGAGGACTGCGGCTTTGCCCTGGCAACAGTTCTGCTGGTTGCACTGCGTGCTATTGACTATGACGATGGGCGTCAAGAGGCTCAGAAAATGTTCCACTACTTGACCACGTCTTTAATTCCGAAGCTAGAGCCATATTTCCCAACAGCCGCGAAAGATGACTGGGCACCGGACTTGAATGACTTGCGGATCTATCCGTTCTTGCTCGGCCTAGAGCCCCAACATGACTGCTATGGTACGAGGTTGCGACTCTTCGTGTACAAACTGCCTGAGTTGACCAAAGGCGTCCTGCACTGCCATCACGGTCAGTGGGGTTTGGAGGCCCTGATTCCTCATTGGCTTCGCCAAGGTACATGCCTAACGGAGGATCCTGACCAGGCTGATTTCTTTCTGGTACCATGGCACACGTGGTGTGATCGCATGATTTACAAGATGAACCAAACACGACGAGCATCTCGGACCAAGGCCTAGAAGTGATGAGCAATGTGTCGGGCAAGCGTGACGGAATGATCAACAGCAGCAGGGCAAAGAGCGATGCCGCTGTAGAGGCTAAATCAGATTTCGATTAACAAGCAAGGAAGAAAGAGGGCTCCTCCTGATAGCAATCTGGGCCCTTGCCTGTGGTGGCACAGCATATGAAAGGGTGAAGTGCCGAGTGATATGTGAAGTGATGGTTCTAACGCGGATGAGGCAGACCCAAGAAAGGGCCCTGGAATGATGAAAGGCCACAACACAGAGCACCGGCACTAAAACTGCCGGTGCAGACAGTCAAGGGGATTTTGCACCAATCAGCCGGCAACAGATTTTTTTATTGAAGATCTTGGAGGGGGTGGGAAGCCGTGTCGATGCTTGTCCCTTAACGTCTTACCGCTACTGAGGAAGTCTCTGCGGTGTACATCGACATGATCAAGCGCAAAGACGACATGCTGCCACATTGGTCCAAAAATGATGGCTATGACCATGTGCTCCTCGGCGGCAAGCGACAAGCAACCGCTAAGCCATCATGATGTGGATCTGTGTGGACACGCGAGCCAAGTTGATGTTATATGACAGGGTCTAAACCCGAAGCCTTTGCATAGATTCCGCATAGATCGGCAATGCAACATGCATGTCTGAAATCCAACGGAATGGATTGGCTTGACTGACGATTCTGTTGCCAGGTTCGTGTTTTCGGACCAGGGCATGAACTTCTTTCCTGCGCCCTGGCTACATCATCCCGCTAACGTGATGCTGCTTGTTACCCGACATTTCTGAAGGAGTGGCGGGATTACATCCCTCACTCAATGTTCATCGTCACGGAGGCCTTGACACCCAGATGCGGCCCGAGTTGTTTCAATGCATGGAAGGACTGAAAGCTTGTTGCCTCTCCGTCCTGGGAGCCTGCACATGCCGCAATGCGCAGGATTTCGTAGTCCCAGGCCACACAGCAGCGTGGCAGCGTGTGGCAGCAAATCTTCTTTCAACCACTGAGTGTGCTTCCGGCATCCGGCCTGAGGATTATTTCCGCTACAGGCGGATGGCACAATTCAACTTGCCTTCCGAGCAAAGAACGTTGCTATTCAACTTCCATGGCCTGCACCCAAGTTCTTGGGCCGTGGGCTTTGAGCTGCCTTTGTCTGTGGTGCAGCAGGTCGGCATCCGGGCCTGAACGACCTCTACAAGAAGAATTTCGTACGAGGCAACATCATCAAGGCCAATTCCAAACGAACCCACGCTGGCAGTGCTAATCCTTCCCGCAGGGCATGCGCACTTTCCGGCTGTACCGGGATTGAAGCTCAAACCATAGTTTGGCCACGAAGTAGAATTTTGCCCGTTGGTCAACAGCTCAATGCAACATATACTTGTACGTGGAAGGAATATGGGTGAATGCCGTGGCACTGCCGATTGCTGCTAAACGTCAAACCGTAATTATCAAAAGCGAAACCAACGAAGAGGAGGTATCGTGCGATTGGAAAGTGGTTCCGCGGCAAGACGGCTGATTGAAGCAATGATGACCGAAATTGAACCAGACTTTCCGTTTGGAATTGCGCTTCACTGCAAAATGGAAGTGCATGCCCGGCAACTCATGCCAAAACACAAGAACCTGGCTGGATCGTCCTTGTCCTTTGCCTGCTTGGCACTTGCGGAATCTTGCGGGCTGCACAGGTTGCAGACAAGGGCCTGTGACAAGGGCAGTCATGCAAGAAATTCACTCACCCTGCCGAAGGTCTTTGATGGGCTGGAGGGTGTGAGTGTAGGTGGCTTCACTGATGACTACTTCGAGCGCGGTGGACCAAGTGTGTGGCCGCCACACCTGTGGAGTTGCAGGTTTGGGGCATCCGACCTGCTGAGGAATGGGCGCATCACATTTTTGTTTGGTGCCTATGGGAACTTCGCGGGGTTCCCAGAAATTGCTTCCACAGAACTTGCACGTAGCCCACAGGGCTCTTGGATTGAGATCGAGCGACATGATGTCATGCACTCACGGCAAGGTCTTGGACGAATCACTTGTATGAGGCCTTCTTTGCAGGTTGTGCTGCTGGCATGTTAATTCTGCCTACCTGCTTCTGCCTTTCGTGCCTCCGCGAGCTTTCCGAGGCATACCGGTGATTCTCAGTGACGGATTCAAGGTACCCTTTGCCCGGACCTCAGCAGGAGAGAAGAGAGAGACACTTCGCGCAGAGCATCGCAGAGCTCTGCGGAGCATCGCCAGGAGAGCTTCTTGGACTGGCCCAGCTTCTCTGTAAAGTGGCCAATGGAGGACGTCAGCCACCGCCCGAGGGCAGATCCCAAATCTGTCTCCCAAGGGGGGGTCGGGCCGGTTGCCCACGGCATTTCAGGCATGGACCTCTACAACTTCTTGCTGAACACTCCAGTGTGGATGTTGCGGAGGATGAAGGCGGAGTTGTGCGGTCAGTGTGCAAACCATGTGTCTTCACACCCGGGCCCGAGCCAATGTACGGGGTGCAATGGGGTGCATGTGTGGCAAGGCGACCGACTGCATGTGTGGGCCGTTGAACGCCGCATAATTCGCCTCAGGGCGGTTCACAAGTCACGAAGTCCCTGCTTTGTTCCGGGCTCCGAGTCGTTATGGAGTCGCAGCCATGTCTGTCCTGCTAACCACAGTAGTCGTTCCACAACGACCACGGCGACGACAACTACTACTAGTACTACAACCACCAATACGACCACAAGCACACCAACAGCAACAACAACGACAACGGCATCAACCGCAACAACAGCAACAACATCAGCAACAAGCAACAGAACCAGCAACAGCAACGGCAAAACCAGTGACAGCATTAAAAGAAGCAACAGCAAAAGCAAGAAGAATAATAACAACCACAACAACAACAGCAGCAACAGCAACTGCAACAACAAAGTGCCAACAAACACAGCAGCAAGTACAACAGTAGCATCAACCACAACCACCGCCACAAGCACAGCCACAGCCACAGCCACAGCCACAACCACAACCACAGCAGCAGCAGCAACAACAACAACAACAGCAGCAATGACAACAGCAACAACAGCTACAATGCACCACCACCAACAACAACCACAACCACAATGCAACTTTGCTCGGGCTGGGACGAAGTTAGATGTCTCTGCTCTGTTGCATCCAAAAGAACACAACGAACAGCGAACTCATGGCGTGCTGATGGGCGACAGATGACGGTGAATAAGCGCCTGCGTGACTCGGCAAGTGAGCGAGAAATGTATGAAGCAACTCCCTGTGCCAATCGGTCTGTCCAAGCGGAAGCACACATGCAATGTGATCATCGCTGAAAATGTGAGATGCACTGTCACGTTCGCAGGCATCTGTCGATGCACACGCTTGCTGGTTCGACTGGCACCGAACGCCTTGCCGACAGATTAGTGGTGCAGGGTAGGGCAAAGTTTTGATATAAGATGTGCTTAAGGTACGAGGCCGATGGTACCCAGTGTTCCACTCAGCGTGGTACAAGCGCACACTGCTTGCTCAAAATCGCGGTCCTTGCAAAAGGTGTTCACCATACCTCGGAATCCTGCGTGAGCTAGAGAGGAGTGGCCGGCATACTTTCAGCACATTCGGAGCCGCCGTGCCGACTCCGACACTTGACCGCGGCATCGGGAGCTGCCAGGAAGAAGCCCGTGCTTCCTCGGAAGCTGCGTCCTCGGAACGCGCAGTGTAGCGGATGGAAACGGTCTCAGCATGTCCGGAAATCTGTCCAAGGTCGGGTCCCTTCTGGCGACAAGGTTCGGCACAGCGACCAGCAGTCTGAAAACGGCTGGTGACCATCTTCGCTTTGCGGGTTCCATCATGTTGCGCAGAGTTGCTTGCGAGCGGTTGGATCCTTCTGATTCCTTGTGTGCGTGGCTACAGCTTCAGGTAGCAGAAACCATGGCGGAATGACTGCAGTTCTACACCCCGATCAACTCCCTGAAAGCCTCGTCTCTTGATCCGAGAGTGAGTGCGTAAAGCTACAAACGGCCCGCATGGCCTGCCAGAGCCAGGATCCAGGCTCCAACAAGTGAGCGGCATTCGATGCAACGTTAATTCATGGAGCTTGCAAAGCTCATTGCACCAAATGGAATCTGGGGAAAGGCTGGAGACGGTGTTGAAAGGTGTCCCGTTCGATCTCGGCTGCTTCTTGAGGTCTGGCTGGCAGCACACTGGGAGCGGAAGCTCAAGAAACAGGACAGGGACTCGGGGAGTCAGGGGACGCATGGGGCCAAAGGCTTTTGACCCGTCGGAGCTGATTTTGCCGTGAATGCTGTGCATTGCTGTGCTACGACATGTGTCGGCGCTTGGCTCTTTTGGCTCCAAAAAAGGTCAGGCAGGCAGCAGTCAACGGACACAGCATTTCAGCCCTAGTTGCCGACCATGTCTGAGTTCACCATCCGAACGCGCAAGTATTGACCTCAGCTGCTTTGTATCTTTAGCCTTGCGGAGCCAGAGATGCGTGTTCATCTGTTTGCAGCGAGGTTTCAGACCAACCCTCTGCTGGCCCGGTGAATCCCTCAGCAGCCACCGAGAATGCACGACACCCCAAAGTGGGGATGCCGTCCTATGAGACAGCGTAGTGAGCTCTGGTAAGGAAGCAGTTCGTGCTGGATGTTATCCATCCCAGCATGGCGAATGCCGGGTTCTTAGTCATCGGTGTTGCACACTCTTGCCGGCGCAGCCAGATCACATCCGCCAAGCCACCCATTCGCAGCAAGGTGTCAAAGAAGGACCTCACAGAAAAATTGGCGAAAATGTGCGCACACATTTGCTGTGAGACCACCAGACAGCTAGGCAGAAGTGATGAGCCAGCGCGGCACTACAGCGAGTAGGGTTGGGGTGCAGGTACAAAGTGAAAGACACCGCCTGCATCAACCTGTTCAGCTTCAAGACGGCCTTCGGTGGTGGTCGAAGCACCGGTTTTGGCCGAGAGCTCGGTGTGTCAGCCGATGATCCAAAGACTTCGACCACCTCTGCATGTGGCGGGCTGGAACGAAGCTTGGACTGTGTCGAAGGTCTTATCTACGAGAGCCTGGACAAGATGAAGAAGTTCGAGCCGAAGTACAGGCTCAAGCGTGCAGGACGCTCAGTGGCAGTGCACACCGGAATCGGAGCAGAGGTCATGGATCTCGGCCTGAAGCCGGAAAGGCAAAATGCCGCTGCTGTGCTCTTGCATTCTAGCTGAGGCCGGTGTCGGTGGTGAGAAGACGGGTGCAGGTGCGCCAGGGGCTGCAGCCAATCTGCCAGCCAATCTTGAGGAAAGCAGAACCCGAGTATGCTGCGTTGCGAGGCCGCCGCGGAAAGAAGGACACCAAGAACCGAATGAAGAAGGTCCCCGCTCTTCTGTGTTGCTTGCAGATATGTTCAAAAGGTTGATGCGGCCCGTCGCTGCAACATGAGGCCCGTGGCAAGGACAAGAGCAAGGCCCGCTCTTCCGGCAAGAAGTGAGCTCCGCAGGTCAATAGGCTGAGAGCACATGTGTGCTGTATCTCGAAGTATCACGCAGCAAGTTTCTGGCGCAGAAGGACGATTGTGAACGCTCGAGATGGTTGTGTGCTGCTGTTGCCAGAAAAAGCAGACCCGCTCAGAAGACGTTGGTCCAGCTTAGTCCAGAGGTTGCACAAGTTTCTTTCTTGCTACACATTCCATGCACGAACGGCTGAACAAGCACTCGGCTTGTTTCTGCATGCAGGATTACCAGGAGATCGACCTTCGCAGCTTGCTTGCCACGACTGGGCCCTAACTGAAACCTGTGCTCTGTTGGGCTGTCCTGCGGCCATTTCGTGCGTCCGCCCTGGCAGTATCTCGGCAAAACGGTCGCTTGTCTCCCTGCGAGCTACCGGGCACCTACTGGTGGGCAGAATGGCTTGTGAACATGCTCAGGGAGGCTTTTCTTCTGAGGTTTTGGATGTTTTGCCAGGTGGGCGCCTGCAAGATCTACTGCAAACAGAGCGCTTTCCTGGAGGCTCACGAAGCCTCTGCTCCGCTTCGTCGCTTCGCGATGTGTAAATGCGTGTAATAAACTTGTCAAGCTTTGTTCAGGAGGAGGCAGATGAGGTCCGTGCTGGACTCATGATGGCGTGGCTCCGGCTCGTTGTTGAGTCTGAAATAGAATGGACCTGTAGATTTAGACCCGGATGCCCAGATTCAGCCGGCCGACAGAAGAGCCGGAGGCATCTCATTACTCTTGGTTGCACGAGTCACGACGGTGGGCAAAAAATTCGATGAGGTCGAGATTTCTGGCCGCATTCGCGAGGCCGGAGTCCCACTCTGCGGCCTCATGCAAATTGCAAACCAAATCGAGGTGCGGCCAGGTGCCCTGACCCCCATTCTTGCAGACGACCAGGCTGAAGACACGTAAACAGAGGTCCCTTTCAAGCCTGGATCTTGAAGGCCCTGCTGGGAGGCAAGAAGCACATCGCGCGTTTGGAGGACGGTCACAAAAGCACTTTCCTTTCACATAGACCAGAGTGCTGCGAGCCCTCTTCTCGCTGCAAGTCTTGGCATGAGGACATTACACTAAAAAACCAAGGCAAGGAGGACGCAGGGCTCGGAACTCAAATATTATGGCCCTGTGCATAAGCTTGCGAGGTGCTGTTGGTTTTGGTGTTTTCTAGGGGAACGAGGGGGCAGCACCCATCCTGACCCGTGACACAGGAGTGGAACGCCATTCCTACCTACTGGGCTGAGTGTTCCATGAATCATCGATTGACACTGCCCTGTCCTGTTTAACACGACATCAGCTTGATTGACTCTAACTACGTCAACTGTATGTTCGTTTGTCTCTGGCTTGCTGGACTGGCACCCAAACATGCGAACCGGTGTGCCTGCACGCCTGCCTCCGCACAAGCGTGCGTGCGTGCTTGGCAGCGCTTGTGCTTGGCAGTGGATGGCTAATTTCAGGAATGATTTTAGGGGCGTCGTCCCTTCCTTGGTACAGATTGCAGCACAGCTCGTCGATCTGAGGTTGATACAGTTAAATTGACGCAGATTTTGTTGTCCAGCAGCGCATCAATCAGTGTGTCGGCACGTTTGAAGCATGTGTGTGTGTGTGTGTATGTATGTATGTATGTATGTATGTATGTATGTATGTATGTATATATATGTATATATATATATATATATATATATGTGCGTGTGTGTGTGTGAGTGTCTGTGGGTCGGTCTGTCCGTCCGTCATTTACCGTCAATCACTGACCGTCTGTCATTGTCCATCCGGCCTTCCCCATCCGTCTATCTGTCTGTCTCTGTGTGTCTGTGTGTGTGTGTGTGTCTGTGTCTGTCTGTTTGTCTCTGTTTGTGTGTCTGTGTCTGTCTGTATCTGTGTCTGTGTATGCGTGTGTGGGTGTGTCGGTGTTGGTGTAGTGTAGGCGTCGTGTTTGCTCCATTGTGTCTGTCTGCGTTTGCGTAATTTCGCTGTATTCTGGAGGTGGGTAGCTGTGGTTTCACGATTCAACGAAGTTGGCTTAGGTCAATCGTGGCCAGTGATGATCTCTTTGGTGCGCTCTCCCAAACAGAGCTCCAGGACAGGGTTTGTGCTGCAACGCCCTTGTGCGGCGTGCGTGGTGGTGCAAGGAAGTGATGCGGGCGGTTCGCAGAAAAGTTGTTCCGAGGGGTGCCTTCGAGGACCGCGACGGGGCTTCGCAGCATGGCAGTGGCAAAGAGAGATCGCAGAGTCAGAGAGGAGCTCGAGTCGGCGGCAACAGGCGAGCGTCGGCGGCCCGGGGTCTCGCACTTCCTGCAGCAGCTGCTGCAAGCTGCTGCAGCCTGTGGGAGTCCGGCTGAGACCACGACTTCGACACCCTTCCGCTGGTGGCGCTTTCAGATCAGCCGAAGGCACGGCCTTGGATCCTGAGCTCCGTCCGTAACCGGACGTCTGCTGGGAGGCCGCCGCTGAACCGGAAGAGCCTGCCGTAGGCTAGCTTTGTGGTTGTGCTGCTTCGTACAGCTACTGCAATGCTGCATGAACTGCCTGATGCTGCAATGCCTTGCTCGCGCGGCTCTTCGAAGGGCGAGTTGCAATACCTAACATGTTGTCTAGGTCTAGATACAAAATACCGCGGCGACAGAACAACAACGGTGTCTGGAAAAGCCAAGAAATACAGCTCCTCGCATGCGCACACCAACGGAGCCACGGAGCTTCCACCCTCCGTCAGTGCAGCCGCGACTCATAGAAGCGTGTCGCCAAGCTTTCACTGTTTGGTCATGGTTCTGTGATCGCACTCACGCTGAGGATGTCACTCCGGCCAGTCGCAACGCCAGTTTCCAAGAGCGATGCCGTTGCTGCCATGCCAGGAACAACTGCGATCTTGCTAAGGCATCCGCAGATGTCGCCAAGTACGAGCTGGAGAATCTGAAGACGGGTCGCAAGGTTTTGCCGGCAGGTTTCTGTATGTTGGACGCAAAGCTCAGCTCGTGGTTACTGGCTGTAAGGTGTATGTCAAGAAAGGGATGCTGTTCTTTCTGTCGTCGAAAGAAGCCGCGCTTGAAAACATTTCAAAGGACTGCCGATACCACTTATGCTATGCATGTGCCTGAACAGCACGTTGGATGCGGAAGCAAAGAGAGTGCAGAACATCCCGAACAGAGGACACCCTGAAGAAGGAGCACGTACCTCCTCCCAGTCGCAACGAAGCCTGCAGCTCAGGAGTGGCTGTTGAGCCGGTCAGGAGGGTCTCAGAAGCCTTTCGAAGGTCGGCTTGGGCTTGGACAGTCTGGAGTGAAGCTTGCAACGGCTTGCAGCTGTTGGGCGGCACGTCACTGCACTGCTGCAGTACGACGGTGTGCGCGACGGACTCGAGGCCTTCGGAATAAGAGGATGTACAGGGAATGGCACCTGCTGCGCTTGCCTGCGCTCGTGGGTGCCGTTCCGTCTCCGTCCTGGTGAACACGTCCACGGCATCGGCTTTCGTCGCAAATCGGAGCTGAAAAGTGATGTCTCAAGCAAGAAGCAACCGGGCTGGCCAAGCACGATTTCAACAATTTCTCCTTGGTAAGTGGCAGCACCTGCGTTCAGGTGAAGACGTTATGCCTTTGGACATGGAGCTTGCCCTTGAAGATGAGGCCGTGCTGGTTCGAATCATTGCGTGAACCGCAAACAGACATCAACAGCTCGTGCAGCACCTACATCACCCCTGCACTTCGCAAAGATCGTGCGTAGTTGAGTTAGCGATCAGCTTGTTCTACGAGTTTGTTGTTATCCGGGCGGCTGGCGCGACAGGCTCCTGCTGCTCCTGCTGCTGCGGCCGAAACATCAACATCACCAGTGCCGTATGCACAGGAAAGCTCCACCAGCGACTGCACTGGTCTTGCTTGCATACCGTGTACATCAACCAACTGTATGGGCGTGTGGGATTTGTCTTCCAGGAAGAGGTCATCGATATCGAAGACCTCAACCAAGTGGCCGGGCAGGTGGGTCCACTTTTGCAGAACAGCCCACAGATTTTGCCTTGGTCACGAGGCTTCCCCGAGGGGAAGGATGAAAAGAGAGCCACTAGTAGCAAGCGATGGAAGCGCAGCTCTTGCATTAGGGTGCCACAGACCGAGCAGTGCTGAAGTCGAAACTAGCTACTGTATGTGTTTTTTGTCCGAGCACAGTTGCATACAGGCGGCAGTGCAGCTTGTACCGTTGCCAAATCTGGCAGTGGAGCGGGCCTCAGCAAGAGAGATGGCTGGATGCGCAGCCATACGCGACCCAGGCAAGGCAACTGATCATGCTGGGTGAAGAGGATGCACTCTTGTCTGGAGTTTATTCGCGGGAATGTCCAGAGATATAGAGCGCCAGGAGCAGCAAGCTGTGCTTGGCTTCTTTCAAGCTCAACGGCGGGGCGCTTGGGAATTTTACCCCTGCGACATCGGCGTTCGTTGACCAAAGCCCGATCATCCAAGCGGCCGAGCCCAACGTCCATAGATGCACTCTGTGCAGCTTAGGCGGGAAGAAATTCAAACCTTGCTGGATCAGGCCTACTAAATCTGCTCGTGCGCATGTTGAGTGCTACGAACTGCCGTCGCTGAGTTTTTGAACGACAGGCGCCCGACTCACTGGCACTGGCTGGGGATGTCGGGGATGGCGGATACGGCGGATATGCTGGAGATGTCAGGTCCTTGGTCCCGTAACGTGCCACACCTTTGTGAGCCTTGCCTGCTGCCTCGGTGGATTCTAGTCTCTCGCATTCCATCTCTCTGTCTCTCTCGGTTGATGTTCCTTTCACTTGCACTCGGGCTCCGGACTGTTCAGGCCATGCCGGTGTCTCACGCCTACTTCGAAGGGACTCTGGCACCTTTCGACAGGCACTGTAACTGGCTCTAACTTAGCTGAAACTCTGACTTGTGAACAAACTCAAGTTTGCTCGCTTCTCATTCTTGCGCAGGCCCACGGACGGCGATGGCTCAGTCGCTTTGTCGCGCTTGTCTATGTGACGTTGAATCCCGCTCAGACTGCCGCTGCAACGCCAGGTACGGAAGAAGCGGCGCACGCAGTTCGTTGCAGACGTCTCTTGGACAAAACACTGGATCATATTCAGTAACATGTTTGGTGAACCGGAATTGCTGCAACATGTGCCCAGTACCTTGAGCCCCGGCATCTTCCGACAAGATATCGAAGATGCCATCCTGAGAATCACCATCGCCAGCCTGGTCATCCTCATCCTCATCAGCAGCTGCAGCAGCACTGGTGGTCGACCCAGCAGCCCGACCATCGGCATCACGGCCATCACTGCAGACGCACCACCAGCAACAAGGCAATTGACATCATCATCATCATCATCATCATCATCATCATCATCACCATACTCAGTACCACTCAGATGGATATCGCGTGCAGCAGCTGCAGCAGCAGCAATGACGCCGACACCCACCGCGTGACACCGCACAACCACGGCCACCGCCACATCTTAGGAGCTGCCGGAGATCCCCAAAGAGACCTACAGAGGGTGCAGAGCTTGGTTACGAGGGTTGCATGGGAGCTGTCCCGCAAATCCAGCTTGAGCCATAAGGTACATGAACGATCGGGACAAAATCACGCGCAAGGGAGATCTCGACTACCACCTGATGCTCCCGCACTACTCGCCCCACCTGTGCATGCTTCAGTCTCTTCGGGAAGAAGCTTGCGATGTGATTTATTGATCAAGTCGCTCTCAGGCCCAACTTCACGACCACCTTCACAGACATGTGCAAGACATTGCTGCTGCCTTGGCATAGTTCGTCTCGTCATCCAGCAACCGTGCGCTTTCGGTTCTTTGAGCCGTGGTCAGTGGCGGGCGCCTGGTCGAGGGAGGGACCGTTGGGGCTAGCGGTGTATCTGCCTGGTGGGGATCCGCCACAGCATGGAAACCTTGCATCCTTGCTCATGGCAATGCTTGTCGGCGGCCTGAACCTGAGGTGTGAAGGTATTCTGTGGGGCTCGGAGGCAGCGTCGCTTTGAATCCTCCACTATTCTGCATCGACGGGCCCATCTAAGAGGTTGCAGAAAAGAGACGGCGACTAACTAAAGACGCCGAGCCGGACCGCGTCTTCGAGGCGGCAGTGGGCAGAGCATGCAGAGCACATGGCAGCTTTAAAGCTCAGCAGACCCGGCAGACCTTGGCGACCTTGACCCTGCCAGGCTGCAGGTGTGTTCGCAGGCGCAGGCGGCGCGGGTCCATCACAGCCTGCAGGGATGGCCGAGGCGCGGTTCGGCGCTCTCGACCGGATGTCTCTTGCACTGGCTCGCATTTCTCAGGAGGTCAGCATCCTGACCGAGGAGCAGCGGAATAATCTCAGCCTGTACGTGAAGCAGAAGGCAACGGTGTGTGACCCTTGTGACTGTTGGCGTAGATCAACTAGACAGGTTTCGTCGGCTTCATGCATCATTTCAATGCTAGCTCCACTGCAACACTGATGGTTGCCAGACTGCTGACAAGCCGAACTCGCTTGCACCGTTGCCGCTCGCCTGCACGACCCTTCTCCGGAGCTGGTTTCAAATGTGGATTCGACAAGGCTTGGGCCAGTGCTCAGCCCTGACAAAGCGGGCCTGAGGAGCGGTGGCTGGTACTTGCACCAAGCAGCCTTGCCTTGCTGCTCAAATATCTTGAAGCCCAAACTGACCTTCATGTTCCGCAGCTTTCAGCAGCTCATATCCATGCTACCTGCCAAAGCAGCCGCGGTCTAGGGGCCTGGCCTGCGGTGGCATCCTTGGCATGATTTGTCATATCTAGCAGGGTTCGTGGTTCCGACTTCCCTTGCTGTTAGCACTGCCAAGGGCCTTGCCAAGGGGGGCAGGCAACACAAATTTACAATGCCTTGCACACTGAACTTGCTGGGCAACGTGTCGATTGGAGGTGATACGCATGGACCTCCTCGCGCAGTACAGCGACAGCGAGGGGGAGGATCGGCCATCGTGATCTGCATGTTAGATGCTTCCATCACCACTCATCATTGACTCTTCAACTGGAGTGCAGGAGGTCAAAGCGAAGGCCAAGGCCGCCGGCGTGCTGCGCTGTTCTCAGGGCAGACACCACGTAGCCGTATCGGGTGGGCGGACCTCTTCCAGGAGAGCCGGCTTAGCCCAGGCCAACCGGAGCGGCACCGAAGGCAGCCTCACGTAAGCCCATTGCTGGTGTCTGGTGCCCAGAGCTGCTGAAGGTCCGGTAACGTAGGGGGGATGTCTGAGTCTCAGTCTTGAGTCTTGAGGTTGATCTTGCACTGCTGCCGGGACCTCAGACTCGCATCTTTCATGGGGTTGTAAGCCTTCCTCATAGCTTCTCGACTCGGCTCCTTGGGTGATCCAGGCCTTGTGTAGATGCAGCGCCTGACGTCGACACCCTCGCCTTGGGCGCAGTGAGGGCCCTGGTGCAAGGGAGCTTTCCCGCCCTCTACAGCCCCTTGGGAGGCCACGGGTGTGAAGGGCCCGGAGCAGGGGGGTCCTCTTTTTTTCACTGGCAGAGCAGGAACGAAGGTCGCTGCATGTACGACCATGTAGCTTTGGTGTAAGCTCCAGCTCCGGCTGGTGATTTACAAGCCAGACCAAGATTTCTCGGGCAATCTTCTTGGTCCCGGCCCGTGAAACTAATTTGCAGATCCATGATTGCTTTCACAATTCGCTTAGTACTTCGAGTTGTTCTTTTTTCCATTTAGTCGAAAGTGTTCTTTGCCTCAGTCCACCACATGTGCAATTATGTGAAAGCTTGCTGTACTCATGTATCAGCAGCCCGCACTTGCCAGTGCATTTTGAGATATGAGATTGGCGATCCTGTGGTGGCTTTCCTCGTGCCCATGCTCGTCGCATAGGTCACGGAGTGGGCCTACAATACCGCCGACAAGCGGATCCTGACGAATCCAACCATAACAGTCGCACCCCAAGCACGTGTGGCATGAGTGATGGTTTTCAGCGGCAGCGGTTACTCTGCCAGGCGTTGAGCAAGCCTCTGCAAGGGCCACTCGAGGAGGGAAGGCATGGGGTCAGGTCTTTCAGAGAAAAAGATGACCCCGCAGCTTTAGAGGTGTAGCCTCGAGCAAGACTTCAACAATCACAAGATGGGCCGAGTCGAGAAGGCAGCTATGAGCATCCGGCCTGGAAAGAAGATTTTTTTAGTTCTTTAGTCGTTAGCTGTTGCTGTCCTGCGATTTTCGTTATGCCGAGGCAAGTTTGCCTTCGATCAGCAGCAAGGAGCCCGGACTCTTCCTGTGTGCTGTGCCTTCCGGTGTCCTCTGGCTCAAGACCCCTAAACCTTAACCTTGCCTGCACTTGGTTGCATGATTGGCGGCAAAGGATTCAGAGCAGACATTCACAAGTTCAGGTATCTCACCTTCCACAACTTCGGGTACGCTGCAAACCCTGCAAAGAACATTCCAGAGGGGGAAGAGATGGTGGTGCCGATGGCATGTTTATGGGAACTGCTGGAGTTGTGGTTGTGGCTCTTTGACGCAGCTCGGCAACAGGTCAGCACTGAAGCCGACTTCCAAGAAGGTCGTGGTATTTGGGATAAGCCCCGCAAAAGGCCGAGATTGGAGAGAGAGAGAGAGAGAGAAACAAAAAACAAAAAAAGCTGCACTGCGCACGGCCAGCGGCGTTGTCAGATGAGCCGCAGGCAACGTTTGGAAGGCCCGGACATGCCGGTGCTGAGCTTGGAGCGGAGGCTGTTCGCAGGATCGTATTGTCCAAGTTTCTTACCTGAGGACGACGATAGGCCCGGTAAGGCGAGGAACATGAGGGTGCATTTGCACCTCTTCGCACAATGCAGACATGTGACAGGGGCATGCTGAATCCGCCAAGTCACCATCCCAGCGGCACCTTCGGCTGTGGTTCCAACATAACTTTATGAGCTGCAGGTGGGGGGGCTTCATCGATAGCGATGTTGTGAGAAAGCAGTTGGAAGTCGAAGTGAAGGCAATTTGGGCAATTCTGTCTTGGCTTTCCTGTGCCTTGTGCCAGAAGGAAAGCTGTAAGTTGACAGGCGAGAGAAGAGGAGGTCGCCAGGAGAGCAGAGGAGGAGAGAGCCGTTGAAGGCCTGTGCCCAGTAGCCCTCCACATCGCTGACTGAAAGCGTGCCGTCAGGTGAAGAGAGGGAAACGAAGGAACGGATCACTTCCGTCTTCCATGGCAACAAGGCCAGGCTCAGAGTCTCACGGGGATGACCAGAGGCCCTAGGCCCTCTTCTTCCTGTGTCCCTTTGTCAAGACTCGCTGAAGCAGCGGCTTGCGGCTGATGGCAGATGGCAGGAGAAAGACTATGCCGGCCGCTCTTGGATTGAGAACAAGGTGCGCATGAAGCCCCGGAAGCAATCATTACCTGTCATTTTGCATGCATCCGGTGTACGCCTTACCTGCCCAGACCAACATCACCAAAGATGTTGATGACAAGCAGTTGGAACCCTAGCTGTGCAGCCCAGAAAGGAACGATGCTGGTGGTGAGCGGAAATCTTGACTTGCACACGCAATCCCAGATTTGTACATCCAGGTGCTTCCTGCCCAAGAAGTGGGTGCACACTTGGTGCCAGCCTTGGCGGGCAGCTAGAGAACCGCAGGGTCCTCCTTCCCTCTAGCTCCTACTTGTAATTGGCCAAGATGAAGCAGGGGGTCAGCGCAATTCTGTGCGCGGAATACCGGCAGCAACTCCTCAGGACCGGACACACCATGGGCGTGCAGAAGATCCGGTGGCCGCTGTCTCAGTGAGTGATGTGATGCACTGTGACGAGTGGATGTGAACTGAGGTTCCCGAAGACCGCCCATCTTCTCCTGTCAGCTGGCATGGATGCTAAGATCATGATCTGGGACTATCACAACCAGCGGAAGCCCCTCTGCTCAGAGCCGAACAGTCGATATCAGGCGTCCAGGCTGACACGAGTTCTAACACGAGCACAAGCCGAATCAATTTAATTCCATTCTCTTCGCCTCAGGTGCCTTAGAACTTACATGGGCCACGATCAAGCCGTTCGGGACATCGCCTTCACCTCTGCAGGGGCCTTACTTGTACGTCCGCCCCGCGAGACTCGCTCAAGCTGTTACGAAAAGAGGACGGCCGTCGGTTCTATAGCGTTTCCTATGACAAAAACATCCAGTCCTGGCCTCAGCTGGTGCTTATCACTGGAGACGAATCGACCTTCGACATGCTGAGGTACTGGGACACTGAAACTGGCCAAATCATTTCCACCTTCACCAACAAGAAAACACCGTTTTGTGTGCCAGCCTCGGGCAAGGCCCCAGGCACACTGTTTTCTGACAGCACCCTTTTCCCTTCCGAGGTATCTGTTCACCCAGACCCTTCCCAGCAGAACGTCATTGTCACGGGATGCTCCAACAAAAAGGCTCCTGCTCGTGCTGCTTTGCTTGGGCAGACGCGGTGTTTGCAGAGACGGGCAGGCGGTGCAGTGGGACTCCAACACCTGCACAATTGTGCAGGACAGCTTTGGAATGCTGTGCTCTACGTGTTGTCTTTCCACTGAGCGGCGGCTGTGTGGGAGGAGTACGATGAACACATGGGCGCTGTCAACACGGCGACAATCTGTGAAGATGGAAAGCGCAGACGTCTCAGCTGTCGTAGACGCCAAGCTGCTACGAAGATAGCGGACCTCGGCCGCTAATGTCCTGTCAGGATTGCTCACCTCTTCGGATGACAAGAAGCCACTGTCTGAGCTACGTGCTGCCATACCAGATTGTGCTTGCTGACTTTACGATGCAACAGCATGATTTTGCAGTCGAGATGTTTGACAGGATGTTCCTGTGGGAATTCGGCATTCCGGTCGTCGTCAAGCACATAGTCAGCGGCTGAACACAGCAGCATACAGAGACTGCATGATTCGCGAATGAGACGCGAGTTTGGTGCGAGCTCGATCGTAGTTTTACAATTCGCCGCGCCAAGCTGTGATGTGAGGCCGAGCCGACCATGCACTCAATCCCTCAGGCATGCACTTCGCTTTAGTGCGGAACAGAGCCTTGGGGCAAAGATCAATGTAGTCCATATCACTATCTATCCCTGGATGCAGATCGTCCTCAGCCCGGACGAAAAGTACTTGATAGGGCAATCCATGGACAACAAGATCATAGCTTACGAGGCTTGTGACTTGTGTGTGTGTGTGTGTGTCCCTTCTTCTGTCTTTGAGTGTTGCTGTCTCAACCAGGCGTTCGGACGCTTCAAGTTCATAGCGCGGAGAACGTTCAGGGCCGGACTCGGCTCCATTTGATGCCATCGGCATACCTCGGCTGAGCTGCGGTGGTTCGCCCTCCGTAGTCCAATGACCGGCCAGGGCCACCTCAACTCTGGCTATGCCATCACGCCGGGGTCCCAACTGAGTGACCCACATCTCTTCTGGGCATTTCGTTTCCGTCGTCCGTCAGCCGATCGGCCACTCGCATTCTGCGGCAGCCCAGCGTTTCTTCTCTCGGTCACTCCATGCGTCGACGACGTGCGTCGGCGGCAGTGGTAGCAGCGACAGAGAGGACTGTCAGGGACGATCATGATGGCCGTATGGGCACGATGACAATGGCGTTCGTGATCATTGGTGAGCATAACGATCATGGCGATGATGCTGGAGTTGATGCCTTTTGCTGGCAGTGGTCGCACTGCTGACCAGATGATGGTGGTGTATGCCACGCCAAGGCAGAGCCAAGTAATTTAAGGGTCCCAGGCGTTGAAGTTGACGACATAGCAGCAGTCCCTTAAGTCGCCAAGTGGCCTGGTGCACAGAGAAGCATGGTGCCCTCTTACCTGGCATGCACAGGTGGCGAAATGCACTCATGCAGCTCTGCATAATTATGCGTGATGAACATTCGGCTACTACAGGCCACCAACCCCTCGAAATACCCCCACCACAAGGTTCAAAATGCCTGCCGCCACCACTGAGCCGGTAGGGGCTCATGAATTGGAGTGAAACCGCAAGCTAAAATTCAACACAAACACACACACACAGAGGGACAATCCAGTCAGAACACGAAACGCCGCTTCCCGGCTGGTGCCGGACATGATGCATCGGACCACGTGCTGATTTTGAGGCCAGGTTGGTCAGCAGATGGCAAGTGGGTCATGTCTGGAGATGCGGATGGCAAGCTGTGGTCAGCATCTGAGACTCTGCATCGTGTTGACAATGCACCGTCTCCGTTGTTGCATCAGGTTCTGGGACTGGGCCAAGTGCAAGAACTATCGTGTTCTCAAAGCTCATGACGGAGTCTGCACTGGCTGCCTCTGGTACTGATCTCAGACGACTCTGCATCCCACACTCCGTGATAGATTGACCTTGTCCACAGCCTCAGCCGTGGCTTTTCGTTCTTTTCTCACAGCCCTGTGCTAAAGCCGAGTGAGGAGAAATTAGTCAGCCACTGGGAGGGCGCCTGTCTAGCATTTTCTGATTGTCCTTTCAAGCGCAGCAGACACCCATGACCTGGACAGCTGTCGATTTCTTGAAGCCACATTTGGACGTGACATTCGTAGTACAATCATAGGTATGAGGTATGCCTAGGAGCATCAGCATGCGCCACACCCCATCGATCACGTAGTGTGAGACATAATATTGAAGTTCATTCTGCCGTAACCACGGAGCCAAGGCACCCCATACAGTCCGAAGCCCAGCTGACCAACTCTTGCAATTCGTGCTTGTCGACAAGTCGCCCGCAATAGGTCCGAAGTAGGGTGTGTGGCAGAAGCACATCCTTGCTCTGCTGTGTTTGAGGACTTCGCGCGTCGTTTCTTGCGGCTGGGACGGTGCCATAAAGCTTTGGGATTGAGCCACAAGAGCGTCTGCCAAGCTAATATTCTCCGATCCATGGAAGCTTTTGACAATGCGCCCGATCAAGAAAAGGCAGCCCTCGCTGGCAAACAAAGTGTCGACATGTTTGCAACAGTCACAGCCTCCTTAGGGAGCACCTTGGCCCAGTTGACAGGAGCCCTGGCTTCTCACCAGAGACACCTCTTGTGGTGCGCTCTCAGGGACTTTGCTGATGCGTTGGAGTCGTCTCCTTTCATGCTTCGGTATTCGCCTCCCTCCCAGCCCCGCTTGCCAAGAAAGAGTCCCAAGTTCTGGCAGCGAAGCCGTGCCCAGTAACCAGTAAGAAGATCCCATGCCACGTTTTGATATCCACATTTCGCTTCATCTTCAGACGGAGACCCTGCTCTTAGAGAATGCCCCTGGATCCATGAATGCCGTTGTGTCAGGCCCTTATGGCGGATCTTGATGGTTCAACATCCCTCCATGTCTCCTGAGCCAAGGACGGGCAACCAAGATGACGAGGATCAATCGGGCAATCCGACAGCGCGGATCGGGCACGCAGACTCAAGCGTACTCAAGCTCGGTTGTCGAGGTGAGGGTGTCAGCCCGGCAAGGTACAGTGGCCGCACTGAGAAGATGCACCGCTTCCTTGCCAGGGAGCCTCTGTTTGTTGTCATGCTGCTGCTCATTCCGCAGAGCGCAGACCACGCGCGTCAACAGCGAACGAGACCAGGAGTTCCGAGACGCCGGCAAACCGGACCTTTCCTACGAGGACCTTTGCAGGCTCGCGCCTGGAGGAAGGAACTGAACTCGAAGTTGTGTTGTCAGCACTGGCAACACGTTGAATCGCTGATTGTCTGGCAGATCTCAAACTCAAGGGCGCAGAGAACTCATTGCTGGATGCTTCTTCGAGCTCTTGGCCTGGACCTTGACTGTGCGGATGCTGGCTACTTCCCCTGCACACTCTGACGTGCACTGCTTTTGGCTGGACATTCAAAATCACAGCATTGTTGGTAACCTGACTTCGGTAGCAAGATCTCGCCGAGCTCGCAATACCATGCGATGTTGCACAATCGCGAAGGGTCTCGAAGCGCCCCCCATCCGGACTAGGTGCTGAAAACCAATGGAGTGATCAACGTGGAGCAGGATCTTCAATCAATTTACGCTTCCGCAAATCTGACATCATTTTATGTCCTTTTGCCAGGATGACCCGCTGTCTGACATCAAGATTGCAAAGGCTTTACTCGTCTTGCGGCAAGCGATGCAAAACCGCTGAGTGCACATGGCCAAGTCTCAAGTGCAGGCAGCACAGTGGGCAAAGTGAGCCGCACGGATGTTGTGACATCTGTGCGAGGCAAGCCCTTAAGTGTCACCACTCTGCGCGTGCACATTACCTGCATTTCCGACGGGCCGAACCACGCGGCATCGCGGTCACGACGGCCGAGGGACTCATGAATCTTAAACGCTCCTGCACTGATGACATAGCTGCATAGCTCAGATGCAGGCTGTACTAGTAGTTCTCTTGTCTTTCCCTGGTCGGCATTGAGGAAATTGAGGATCCGGTCGCATCAACGAAGTTGGTGGGGAGCCGCTCTTGACGTGGATCCTTTGCCCAAAGGAGCCCTCGTTGCGCAATGCGCGAGGTTCAAATCCTATGTCGAGCATCCCTGCGTTCTAATCTTGCAGAATCTTGTCTTGCCCTTGCCTACTGTACTGCCTACAGCAAGACGCTAGGCGGAAACCACGTACGAGTTGAAAGAAACTGCCGCGGCTGTATTCCAAGCGCAATTTTGTTGCTATGCTTGCAGCTCGGCAGCGCCAGAGCCTGAGGAAGGGCGTAAGGCGTAATCAGTGCGATCAGCAGAGCTAGCACCAGAGCCTGATTCGCTGTTTGGACAGGCCTGAGTGGGCGACCACTGCCCTCATGGCATCTTGGAAGCACTGCACTGGCTTAGTGGCAACGGTGTCCCAAGTCGTGCAAAGTGAAAGCGGTGGCAACTGGTAGCCGAGGACTGGAAAGGGGATGAGGCACAACCCAGGATTGCGCTTGTCTTCGCGATGCTGTGAACACTCGCAGGCGAGACTGGGCCAGCTATGTCAGCTCTTCCAGCCCTCCGCTTGGCACAGATAACGGGGCAGTGAACCGAGCACACCGACAACACTTGGCTCTCCTATCCGCAAGGCTGGCATCCTCTCCAGACAACAGCATCCAGCAGCAGGTCAAGTTTTCCATTCCTGCACTGCTGTGAGCCATGAGCAAGCATACACTCGTTTGTGAAGGTGATGCAGATGCTGTCGCAGTTTAGCCAGCTTCCAGATTTCGATATGCGCATCTCTCAGAGATCAGCAGATTAACTGCCGTTCGCATGTCCGCTCGGCAATGCCGCACAGAACGCCTCGGCGTCGATGCCAGGGTCGTAGATCATACCGCTCAGCTTGCAGTTCAAGAGCTGAGGTACTTGGCAACAGTTTTTGCCAAGTTGACTACCCAAGACGAGGCCACAGTGTTTTAGCCAATATGATAGTTGTTCACTGTGATTGCCTTTCAGGTTGTTCGACAGCGAGCAGGACTGCTGCTGAAAACGAACCTCGGGAGGGCTCAACCTGGAACGTCCGCATCTGAAAACTGTGTCAACAGTCCAGGTCAGACATGATCAGAGGTGCAGTGCTGACTTAGGCTGCAGCCGGCTATCGCGGAGTATGTTCAGGATGCGCTGCGAGCTATGACAAGCCCTTTCCTTCCCTGTGCCCTCCAGGCTCATACCTTGTCTGCAGTGAGCGACAGCAGCAAGGCTCGAGCTGTCGAAAAAGCATTTGCACTCCCTGTCTTAGGGAAAATTTCTGCCTGAAGGTCATTAGACACACAGCTGGCACAGTGCTTTCCTTGGGCAATGTGGCGAGTTCGCATGGTACCTGCAGCGGCTGTGCTTCTGCACAGGTCATCTCCATTCTTGTCCTGAAGGTCGGCTTTGTTGGCAGCCGACAGGCGACTGTGGGGTGCGAATGCGTTGTGTTAGCAGTCGTGGCCACGTCAAGTGGGAACTTGAAAGCCCTCGACTGGAAGTCAGCTTCTAGAGTCTAGGGGGGCATTGCAGCCGATCCTTGCGCAGACTTTGGACAAACTGGCGACCTGCCTCGGTGATCAGAATCCTCATATAGTGGAGGCACTGCCAGAATCGCGTTGTAAGTTGCCCACTTTACCAATGGTGCCGTGCTGTGTCTTGTCCTGACAAGGGCAGTTTCAATGCTCTGAACAAGATCTGTGAAGACCGGGCCCAAGATGAGTTTTTCGCTTCCACACGATGCACTTCGGATGCAAGGATGGCATGATGCTTATCAAGCAGTCCGGATGCCAAGCTTTGGGGGCGATGATCCCAATTTGTGTCTCTGTGCTTGTAGTGCTTCACGAGGATGTGGGACTATCCTGATGAGCAGACGCAGCACTTTGTTCGCTACATCCTGAGACCTCCGTACTTAGACAGCTATGGCATTGATACAGTATCGCAGGTTGGTCGGCCGAGAACCTTCTGCCCAAAGTGATGCAGTGCCCATCTTTCCATTAATCCTTGGTATGCACCTTGGTTTCTGTTATGGCTGTTATTCTAGCTGGTATCACCTTGGAGGTGTGAGAGCATAGCGAATTCGTACGTTGCTCCTTCATCTTGGCTCATGAGTACATGTTTCACTCAGGCTGCGGTTGCTGTTGATTCCGATTAAGTGAAAGTCGGTTTAGGCATCGTGACAACACGCAGTCCAATCTAGCTCAGCTGCACGGAAAGGCAACACTGTAAATGAATTGAGCTGCCAATCTCCATGGCATCATGTGGATTGGTCGATGATGTAAAGATGAGTATACAGGCCTGTTCATTTTACATGTTTCGCGTGTGTGTGTGTGTGTGTGGTCATGTCAGCTTGTCTGCAGAGGTTTGTTTCACATAGCTAGAAGTCTAATCGCAAGCGCAGAGCCAGGATGAAGCCCGCCTCTCCTGCGCTTTCCAGAGCAAGGCAGCTCTCCTGGGGTCAGAGTTCGGTCGGGTCCTGGTCGGTGAGAGTACGTGGGCCACGGCTGTCACAGCATGATCTCGACATGACCCTCGGAGATCTCGGAGCCGAGGCAGGCGGTAGGCGTGTCATACTGTCACCGCAACGGCTAGGCCTCTGCAGACTGCTGCAAACGGAGAGTCAATTGTACCTAGTGTGGCCCGATCTGACACGAGCATCAGCGGAGCGTTATGTTGTTCACATGCTACCTTGGGCCTGCGTCCATTCTTGGAACTGCACGAGACTGCCCAGCTGATGCTGGCCCTCCCATCACCATTCCATCCCTTGAATACGGTGTTACCAGGAGCAATGCAGGTCTGGTTTACGTTCTTCAGAACTCTGTCTCGTGGCGCATCAAAGTCGGCAGTGTTGCCAGGACAGGTGGAGCATCAGATGAGGCGGCGCAGTTGCACACTGGGCTGCAAGTCGGCTACTGTTCCCTCCCGTCCCGGCTTTTAGTGCATGCAGGCCGCAGGCATCCGCAGGCTCTGAAATTTGGATAGGTTCAAGCTTCGAGTTTTGGCTAGAGCACGATCCAGCTCTGGCAGTGAATGTAATAGAAAGCCGCTGAAAAAATCGGAAAGGACTTGTGAAAGGCAAAAGGCCTGATGGGGCAGTAAACATATCAGCACACCCGACGGTATCTCATAGCTTGAAGACTAGACGGTCATTTCTGCTCGTCAGTCCGCACAGTTTGAAGGGGCAGATCCAAGAGCATGCACGGATTAGCTTCCCCCTTTACTTTACCAACCCCCGAAAGCCTGAAAATCACGAAAGCCAGCTCTTCAGGAGCTTGCGGGAGTTGTCGGTAAGAAGGAAGCCTCCGTCTAACAATGACATTGTAGGGCATTTAGGTCTCATAAATCGAGTGTAACTAGTAAAGGAATGTTGCGGGGGTCTTGCCACTATTGATACCACTGCTACTGCTGCTGCTGCTGCTGCTGCTGCTGCTGCTGCTAGCACTAGAGCACTACACGAGCAATGCTGCTAAGCACGCGGAGGCCGAGGCTGGGTGCCTCCGCGTGCTGGTACTGCTCCTAGTTAGGGGGTGTGCACGGAAATCTGAAAAAAGAGCTCGGCACGCGCCGTAGCCCCTAAGCCCTAAGCCCTAGCCCCACTAGCTTTCGCAGCCACTTCTCAAAACTGCAAATGCCGACGTAGATCTTGCGATCGGGGAGCAGCCCGGACCCGGATTCGGATTCAGCACTCGCCCAATGCTCGAAACGCCTTCCCAGAAGTCGTTGTCCTCATATCGATGTCGGTGTGGCTTCGTTACGCCGAGGCGAAGGGCCGAAGTACCCAAAAGGGCACTGAGGCATCAGTGGGACCCATGGCAAAAGTCTTGGTCTGCAGTACCTGCGTGCCACAGGACCGCGGGGTCGTTCAACGAGCGAGCCCCGCCCCTTTGGCCACGACCTCAGACATGGACAACAGCGATTTTCCTCACTGTGACCTTCTGCCTGGGAGTCCACCAGAGGTTGGTCGGATCAGGTCCGGGAAAGGCGTCTGTGCTGGCCGTGCAGAAACCAACTCCGGTTGGCTAGACATTTTGGAGCGAGCGACAGTGATTCGTCGGCAGGCCGAGGATGATGATGATGCCTGCAGTAGTGCCGACAGTGTGCGCAGCGTTCACATCTCAGTGAAGGGGTCTGCCGTGTGTGCAGTTGGCAAGTCCTTGGTGTCGGCGCGTGGGAACATGCTTTCTCCATGCACTTTGTCAGACTTGCTCCAGTAAGGGGGGAGACGTGTCAGCGGCGAGACGAGGGGCAGAATCGGTACGAAGCAAAACCAACCAGGAAGGACCAAAAGAACGATCGAAGACAGCACAGTAGAACGTGAGGACAGGGACCCGAAAGGCACGTAAACAAAAGGGCAGGGTCTGTTTTGGGCCCTCCGGAGACAAGCACGACATGCTAAAGTGTAGTATAGGAGACAGATGACGCAAAATGCAATAGTTGGGCAAACCTTGCAACCTTCAAAATTAAAGTAAGCACAGATCGGTGCCTCGGCTACAGATACCAAGTAGCAGTAGTGGAAGTAGTGCAGTAGCACACTAACTATAGCCCCCACTGCTGTTGCTGGTGGTAGTGGTACTACTACTACTACTACTACTACTACTACTACTACTACTATTGCTACTACTGCTACTGCTACTGCTACTGCTACTGCTACTGCTACGACTACTACTACTGCAAACTACTACTACTACTACTACTACTACTACTACTACTACTATTACTGCTACTGCTACTGCTACTGCTACTGCT